AGAATTGAAATCTTCCTACACACCCTTCGATTTCCGTGCTGACGTGGGTCCTGTACATAATTTTTTCTAACATGTGGGTCCCACATATTTTTTGTAGATTTCAATTCGCATGTAACTTGAGAATTATAAAACCCTTTATATATAGGGCTTTACTTCTCTCTACCCATACAAAGGTAGGTGAAAGCATTAAATGCGAGGAATTATAAGTTATAACCAATCAAAGTTGTAAGATTTATTTTTGGACGTCTAACAGCCGGAGAAATGAGTTTATCCCTTGGACACATATAGGTTTATCATTTTTCTGTCATAAGAAATAAAATTATCTTCAACTACGTGCTTTTGAAAGTTAAGAGAACTAATGAGGGGTGTTTTGGTCAAATTTATATTTTAAAGAAACAAATAAAATTACAAATGCACCCTCATTAATTTCCTTAATCATCAAAACGACATAGTTTTGAAATTGCACGAGAAGCAATTTTTTCTCTCTCTCTATATTGTAATGTGTGTGCTTAAATTTAAATGTCTGTGCATGTGTATTTTTCGGTTTCCAGTTCTATCATTACAATCAATTAAAAACGGAAAAATTTAGATAACAATTTATATGGGCTTGTGGTGTTTATTGTTAAAATATAACGCATGCCAATTTTTAGAAAAATGTTAAAAAAATTCCTTATGATTTTCCTTAAAATTATTTATCCTTGTAGTTTTTTTAATTACTTATATTGTATGTAATTTTTTTCATCCAACTACACCTGTTAAAAACTATATCAAGTGGTCCATTTTCCCCCTATTAAGAAATACAAATACTAAAATGAGAATGCTGCATGTGATTATGATTATATTAATGCATGCAATTGAGGCTAGTGATGACGATGATTTTTTTCTTCTTTTGTTTCACATTAATTGTATGAATTTAATTGATACAGAGTGCTTTGCCGCAGTTGAAAAATTCAACCATTTTCCCCCACTCTTCCTCGCATGGGTGTCTTTATTTATTTTTTTGACACTCATCCCCATCGTGCATATAATGTAAAGATTTATACTCCAACTTGTTTCGTTTAAGAATCAAATCAAGAATCTTTATGCTCTATTTATTTTGAGATTTTAATGATAGTGGTCATCTTGCATTTGTAAAGTCATATATTGATATAACGATTTCTAGGAAAATTATCTATTTTGCCTAACGTGACTTCGTGTTCTTGAAATTTGTTACTTTATCCAAATATTGTCATTATGGTTAACGCTTAACATGTTTAATAGTTATTATTTATTCACCGAATAAATTAATGCGAGTCAAATTGAATCATTTCATACCGCACGTACTGCATTTGTGACATTACTTTCTAAATTAGTTTTAGGATTCCTTTTTTCTGCAGTTAATGCAGATAATTATCTGCAGTAAATACAATACGAGGTCGTTTTGAGACGGAAATCATGGTATTTTTGTAATTTTAATTTATTTCAGGGTTATAATAGTCTTTACATTTATAATTTTTTAAGATTTCAATACCAAAACGACATCGTTTTGGGAATAAATGCAGATAACTTATCTGCATTAACTGCAGAAACATTTTTCCCTTAGTTTTATCATATTACATATATAAATATTAAAAAATATTTTAAATTCATTTTTTAAAAGTATAACTTTTTTGGGTTCGCTTTTTCTGCAGTTACTGCAGATAAGTTATCTGTAGTAAGTCAAAACGATGTCGTTTTGGGACGGAAATCATGGTAATTTTGTAATTTTAATTTATTTCAGGATTATAATAGTCTTTATATTTATAATTTTTTAAGATTTCAATACCAAAACGACGCCGTTTTGGAAATAAATGCAGATAACTTATCTGCATTAACTGCAGAAATATTTTTCCCAACTTTTTTTTATGGGATTAGTATTTGTTCTTTTAATTGACATATAATTATGTTATTTTACTCAAAACTACTATGTTTTATGGTAAAAGAAACAAAAATCATGGTAAGAGAAAGCGAGATATTTTTTTAATTTAAATATTAAATAAAAATATAAGTTTTAACTAAAATTACTGTCCTTTAAAAGAAATATTTTTTTCCTTTTTTATTTTATAAAATTTTATAAGTTTTTTCATGTATTTTAATATATTTTATTCAAAACTACAATTTTAAATTTTAAAAAAATTATAATAGGAACTAGTTTATAAAACAGTCAAAAGAAAAAATATTTTGGAAAACAGTTTTTAAAGATATATGAAATTATGTTATAAACTTTTTTTTACAATGGGTCAGATTACATTTATAAACTTTTTTTTACAATGGGTCAGATTACATTTATAATTTTTTTTAATTACAACTCTTACCAACTTAAGTATGAATTATGAGGAGTACATATACTTGAAAGTATACTTTCTATAATTAAAGTTGTAATAGTTGTAAATAAAAAAAAGTAAATGTAACCTATCCCTATAAAATATATTTTGATTATTTATATACATTTTAAATTTCCGATAATGTATGATCAATCTCAAACATAAAATAAGATAATATAATTTTATAAAACTAATTATGCAGCGCATTTAAAGTATGTTATATGATATGCTTTCTCTCTTTTATTCACTCTTATTTAAGGAGCCCTGATTATTACTATTTAACATAAATAAATATGACCGAAATTAATAACCTAACAATTAGGTAATGATGAAGGTAACCAATGGGTGCAACTCAGTTGGTAACTTGACGCTGAGTTAATGGGGTTGGATATGTGCTCGATTCCCGCTGAATGTATTCTTGGGGAGGGGGCTGAACCTTTAGCCATCACTGTTCCCCCGCACTCCGGATTAGTCCCATAGCCGGCTCAAAGAGTCGAAGCTCGTGGAATACCGGAGGGAGCCAACTCGTCTCAAAGAGATAATTAGGGTTAGGTAATAAAAAAAAAAAAAAAGTAACCATGAAGGTGGAAAAATCATGCTGTCGAAGTACGGAATTCGAATGAGAAAATCATGTACTCCTTTTGTGTTAATTAATATTTTATTTGTTTTAATGTTATTTTATGATTACAATAAATTAAAAACCTATTAAAATTACGCTTTAACATTTCTAATGCGAATGTAGATAAATTAGCTACATTTGCTCCCAAAATAATATTGTTTTGGGTTGAAAAATTAAAAAATTATAATAAAAAACTATTATAACCCTGAAATAAATTATAATTACAAAAATATCTTGATTTTCGTCTCAAAACGACGTCGTTTTGGACTCAATATAGATAAATGATCTACGTTGACTGTTGAAAAAATGAACCCTTAAAATTATCTCATTTTGTTAAAGAATTTATGATCAAAATGTTATAGAAACAATTTTCATCCAAAATATTTTATTTCTAAAAGTAAAAATTAACCTAAATTGAATATGTATTGTAGGGTGTTCTTCAACCGATCCAAACCGATTCAAACTGCGGTAACCGAACCGAAAAATCAAAAATAAAAAAAAATCCGCAAATTTTATTTGGATTGGATCGGTTTTCGGATTGGTTGATGAAAATCGATCCAATCCAAACCGATTCAATATATTAATTTCTCTCTACCTACTTGGGCATTTTCCCAACCATAGCCTAAAAATTTCTAAATCCTAGACCCATTAACCCATTAACTAAACCCAAGAAAAAACCTAGTCACGTCTCATCAACAAAGTTTCATCTATGTAGAGTTTCATATCTCATTGCCAAAAAAAAGTTATATGATTGTTTGCTGATGCTTTTGTATTTCAATTTTTTTTTTACAAAACCAATATATACAAGAGATGTTATTTGCATAATAATTATAAAACAAATTTTAAGATTTTTAAAAAATCGAAAACCGATCCAATCCAAACAGAAAAATTCGGATTGGATTGGATCAGATTTGAAAAAATCTAAACCCGAATGGGTGATTACATGATTAGACCGAAGGAATTGGATAAAATGATTTTTGCTTCCAAAACTGATCCAATCCAGACCGCAAACACCCCTATTGTATTGTTTTTAGCTATGTTGCACCGATACCGATATGAGACACGAGATTCGACACGACACGACACTCCGACACGTTAATTCTAAAAAATATTAAATTTTGACACGTTAGGGCACATTTTGATATTATATAATATTTTTAATTTAAGTAGTGTACATTATATTTAGTATTCAATAATTTAACAAAAAAATAAACCTAAACTTATAATACCTTTCAATTTTGCAATATCCCAAATGTTTATATTAAATTCAATAAAATCAAATTCAATAAAATCGTAATCGTAATCTAACGAATCTAATAGCTGGAGCTTAAAATGCAACGCAACATAACCGTTGAACATTTTTTGACACGACACGTTAGAATTTTTGAAGTGTCGGTATTTCATAAATTTTTAGCGATAATTTAATTTAATTTATTTTTGGATTACATCCGGGTGCTTCATAAATTTTTAGCGATAATTTAATTTAATATATTTTTGAATTACATCCGGGTTTCCCCACAGTCGATAGCCATGAGACTAATCCCTCGCACAAAGCAGTAAAGTGCTGGCCACAAAATGCTTTTCATTCATAAGAGTTGGGGTTCGAACTCCCAACCACTTGCTTAGGGGCTCACGTGGTTAATTTAATTTATTTTTATTGTGACAAATTTGCTTTTTACCAAATCATTTTTACTTTTTGTGTTGACAGCTGGCAACCAAAAAGAGCGAGTCTTCAATTCTTTCTTTTCCACACGGCAATTCCGGGCACCACCATTGATCTCCTTTGTCGCCTTCGATTTGCAACTTGTGAGTTTTTAAAAAACTAAAAAAAGGAATAAATGGCAAAAACGTAAATCAAATCCATTTTCGGGGGGCACTTTCGGAATTCAAAGTTGCCTCGTAACTTCTTACGACTTTCCTGCGAGTCATCGTGGCGAAACAATTCTCCACCGTTGGATCAGCGTCCCTGTTCTCAGATCTCGAAACCCTAGAAAATAGAAAACCCCCGAGCCTGCGGTTTTTTTTTTTAAGTAGCAATTCAAACCCCCCTCTCTCTCTCTTCCCCCGTCTTCTTCGTTTTCCTCAACAGAGTTTTTTCTTTTTAGAGAGAGAAAGTGTGCACCAAACGCAGAAGAGTCTTTCGTCGTTTATTCGTTTTCTTGGTTCTCAATGGAGGGATTGGCGTCTTCGGCGGCGGCGACGACGTCGTTTCATGGCGGTTACGTTAGCTGGGAGGAGGTGTTCTTGTCGAGCGACAAGGGAAGGAGGGAGGTTCATTACATTCTCAAGAGGAAAGCCGGTGGTTCGGATCTGGCTGTCATAGGCAAAGAGAAGAGCTTGACGCACACGTCTTATCACTATGCAATAAAAAACGCTTCTTTGGGTCCCTCTTTGAAGCTCAAATCACGCAGAGAGGTCATTGATTGGTTGGATTCAATTGTTTCAGGTTCGTTCATGAACCTCCAATTTTTTTTTTTTTTTTTTGAGAAAAAATGTTGCAATAACTCACCCTTTTCGGTTTCGGTATTTGGGTTCGTTCGTTTTACGTCTGGGGTTCATCAACATCACATCTTTAATTCTAAACGGGTTGAAAGGTTGGCGAACCCTAATAAAAACCAGGAACAGGTTAAGGGTTTTTATGTAAAACATTGTTTTTTTTTGGGGGGGGGGGGGAGGGTTTCGGTTGCACAATTTTGTCTGTCGCCTTCGAATTTTCGTTTGGGTTTTGATGAAAGATTAAATTTTGGATTGATTCGAATGCCTTCCAATTATCCTCTGATGCCACGGTTGCTTTTTTGTTGTCGGGTATTCTTTTTTCTCTCCTTTTTCTTTCGCGTTCCGTGTTGATTCCGTTGTGTTGTGTTATTTTTTTTTCTTTCTCCATCATTTATGATTGGTTTGCATCTGAGTTCTGTAAGCCTTTCAGGGATGGCATCTCTCGACCTCTTTTTAGGTTTCTGTTTTGCAAATTATTGTTAAGGGTGAGATTTCCAGGACTTGGATCTAAAATTCATTTCTTTGTTTAAATTTTTTACGACCTTATAAAAATAATTTCTCCTTTTTTTTTGTTAATTATTGTTTTCATGGAGTAGGTGGCATATCTTTTTGTGTTAATTTTTGATTATGATGTGTTACTTTTTAAGGTAAAATTTTTATTTTCTGGATGCTGTTTTTTTTTTTTCTATTTGAACTAAAATTTGTGCTATTTGCTTGTGAATTTTTCAGATTCGTCTGCCGGGGTTGTGATTAAGATGGGCAAAGATGGTTGTGAACTGGAAATGGGAACGTTGAAGGTATTGATTATGCAGATATAAAACTCCTTTGCATTTTCTTTCTGTATTTGTTGGTCTGCTCTGTAATTTGTGTTAAATCTCTTGTTCAATTATTCTATTTGTTTTTTCAGGACGATCAATTGCAGAAGCCGCGCCATTGTACCAAAGAATTCACATGGTTAGGGTCTCCGTCGACCTGTAGGAAAAAAAGAAAGCACTACCAATCATTTAAGCGGAATGGTTTTCAGATATCTGTGAGTCATCATCTTTTCTGGTTCTTTATTTACTTTTTTCATCTCCTGTTAGCGGCACAGCAATTGTAATCTGACTCTCATAATTTGTTTTTTGTTCCTTGCCTTCTCAAAATGTTTTCAGGTATATGATTTTGTATTTGTTCTAGCCGAAGAGGACAAACGTCTAGTTGCCTACTTGGAAGACCTGTATGAGGATTCCAAAGGCAACAAGATGGTTGTGGTACGCTGGTTTCACAAAATTGATGAGGTTGGTATTGTTTTGCCTCACAGTTTTAGTGACCGAGAGGTTTTCTTTTCTCTTTATCTTCAAGATCTGAGTATTGAATGCATAGATGGATTGGCTTTCGTCCTCAGTCCCCAGCATTACGAAAAGTTTCAGAATGAGGCCCGTGATACTCACTTGGAACCATTCGTATGCTACAATCAATTTGATATTGATGAGGTCAAACCCTTTGATATAACTCAAATTAAGGGTTACTGGAAACAAGAAATACTCAGGTACATGTATGTCCACTCTGACTCAAAGTCTCTTGGGAGTTCTGGGCAATCTGATGATGACCTAGAACTGGAAGAAAACCTCCAGTCTTCTTCTGGGATCAGACCTAAGAAGAGGCAGCCCTGTACAAAAGTTGAGGGCAAAGATGTGGTTGATTCAGCTGCTCATAAATTGGAAAATCCAAGTAATTGTAAGATCAATACCAAAATCAGTTCTGGGAGCAATTCCTTAGAACTGGTTGGGCCCACCCCATTGGCAATCTCTGAAGGGTCAAATGAACATGCTTCAAAGTATTTAGTTGTAGGTTCCCAAGTTGAGGTCCTTTCTCAAGACAGTGGGATTAGAGGATGTTGGTTTAGAGCTTCTGTCATTAAGAAGCACCAGAATAAAGTCAAGGTGCAATATCAAGACGTTCAGGATGCAGCAGATGAAGCTAAGAAGCTTGAGGTGTGTTGAAACAATCTTTTACCTTTGTAGTTTTTTTCGAAGAATTATTATGAGTATATGCAGAGACTAATATTTTGTTTATTAATTTTCTTTTGTGAAGGAATGGGTTTCAGCTTCTAGAATTGCAGTTCCCGATCATCTGGATATTCGACTGCAAGGGAGGACCAAGATCCGGCCAGCACCAGAGTCTAATAAAAGTGAAATATCCTGGATGGGTGATGTTGGCTCCATTGTCGATGCCTGGTGGCATGATGGATGGTGGGAAGGCATCGTTGTTCGAAAAGAGTCTGAAGCTAATTATCATGTTTATTTCCCAGGTATGGCCTGCTGTTATTACATTTTGCATCTTGAATTTAGGTTTAAACTTGGTAATGATATTTTTGGTCCATGGATTATTAGGTTGCTCTTTTTTTAAATTCTTTTTTCTTGGTCTAATTATGATAAACCCTTATGGTAATATGTCTTTGCAGGGGAAAAGGTGGTGTCAACTTTTGGTCCTGGTAACTTAAGACAGTCTCAAGATTGGACAGGGGATGGGTGGGTGAATATTGGGCTAACCCCTGATCTTGTGACTTCTATATTATCAAGCTTGCCAACAACACAAGATACCTCCAAATCCAATGACAACAAATCAACTGTAGCATCTACCGGAGATGGAAGACAAACTAATCAGGCTGATACTTGCTTGGATTCTGAAAGAGATAAATCTAGAAAGCCTGTAGTGGTTCCAGATCTTTTGAAGGATGATTTGATATCCCAGTTAAGATGGAAGTCATCCCGGAAGAGAAGGAGAAGTCGAGGCAGAAGCAGTACCTCTTACCAGAAGCCCCGGTCCAAAGGCAACCAGAGGAGTAAGAGTAAGTCCCCAAAGACTCTGGAGTCGGATTCTTCTGACAGTTTTGTGATTCCGGCATCATTGAAAGTTGATCATGATGACTGCAAATACGTGGGGGATCCTTCCATTTTCAGTTCTTCAGTTGTGCCTTCTTTAACTAACTTGGTTATGTGTAGGTGACTCCATGATTGATTTCTTTAGAATGATGTCTAGTTTTCCTGTTCTCTTCTCATCCCTTTCCCTAGAAGTACATGTGTTTAACCCTTGGTGCATCCATTCGGTGCCTGTCTTTTTTTGAATTCTTCATCCAGGGCCTTGTTAACGGAGAAATTGTATCCTAGGTTAGTCTTTTCCTTCTTCCCCTTTTATCTAGTTAGTTTGTGCAATTTATGGCATCGAAGCTTCACTGGATTTGGGTGCTTGCAAGGATGATGCCATTCAAGTTTTGGCAGAAAAGTGTAACGTCGTGGTTTAAACCGATGACGGCTTTGACATTTAGAAAAATAGTTTGAGCTGTTCTTTTCATATAAAATGTTTCCAATGTAATCTGTGTAACTTCCTCCAATAAGAATAGAAATTTTACTTTTCTTGTGCTTTTTTTTTTATCGTGTATAAATGTACATATATTTCTTTTTCTTTTTTTTTGGGTACATCAAATGTATATATATTTCAATTAATGGGTATTCTCATTCTACCATTTTTACAATTTTTTACGTGAATGGAGTTTTGGAATGTTGTATTCATTTATTTTCAGAATGAAGTGGTTGGTACTAGTTAATTAGAGTGATTCTACTTGTAGTACATCAATAGAAGTACATGACAATCTAGAGAAAAGTGAGTTTGTTTCATTTTTTTTTTTAGTAAGCCGAAAGCTTGAAAGTGTAACAGTGGGAACTATATTTTTTAGTGTATAAGAAATTTAATCTGGTAAATGACTTAAAAATTTCTCCTGTTGACAGAGATAGGAATCTAGTTGTCTATAGTAATCCACCCTTTCAGCTTAGGGAGCTCCTTTTAAAAGATTCTCCCAACGAGCAGTCATCGTTGTAGTTTTCTGTTTTAGCCCCTCCTTACTTACCAAAAAAATAAAAATAAAAATAAAAATCTTCTGTTGATGAGATTAATTACTGGGCTGATATTAGTATATCATAACAAATGACATATAAAGAAAGAGTAAATGTGGTAAAAGTGTAAAGAAGTAAAAATATATTTACAGCAAGTTAAGATTTTATTGGTGTCACCTTGTTGTTTTTAATGCAATGCAATGATAAAATTTGAGTTCGAACTCCACAAATCAGCATAAAGTTGAAGCCCACGATATTGTATTAAGTTGAATAGGAGACCTGTACTAGTCAATCCAAATCATTAATATTAGGTACATGTGCGCATTCATGCACTGTTCAGCGTTTCTTTGACGTGTTGAGTTTGATCGTGTATACGACTTGAATATCAAGTGTAGAATACTAGATGTTCAATGCCTACTGTGTACTGAGTCACTGACCCTGAAATGGATCACCTCCAATTTACAAATAAATTAAGATAAGAATGAGGAGCCACTTGTTTGACTTTAGCTACGCACTTGGACCTACGGTCGTGGATCCAATGCTTGTACCCTTTAACATAAAGAATAATCAACATTTAACAAAAGACTTCATCTTTTACACTTCGGCGCTACTCTTTATATTTATTTAAGCCAGGGCACTGTCAAAAGACCACCAACAACTACAACTTGTATAAAATCAGCTTGGCTTGTTTTTCTTGAAGCCGAGCCAAGATTAGTTTGGTTCCCTTAAACACCATTAGTTTAGTTGATTCATTGAATTAGCTTAGTGACTGGTTTAGTAAGCAAACCTTCGTTTGTTAGAAGGATTTTTTTTTTTTTTTTTTTTTTGTAGGATTCCCATGAAATTGAAAGTGATAATCTTATTTATTCACCTTTGGTACAAGATTTTTAAATTTTTTTCGGGAATTCGATTTTCTCGGAATTTTATTTTGTGTGTAATTTTTTTTGAAAAAATCATCCAAGAATATCATTCAAAACGTGGTATTTTAAAATTTTTATGGCAAAGGAAAATTTAATACAACTAAATATAGCATCAAAAAACTTAAATCAATATTCCTGAGAATATGTTAGTCTGCCAAACAACTTTTTGATAACATTTTCAGAAAACTCATTTTCTCATCATATTCCTGAAAATCGTGATTCCCAGATAAATTTTTTTTTTTCTTCTACCAAAAGCCCCAATAATTGTTGTGTAGAAAATAATAATAATTATGCAATGTGTGGGGTTGCTTGTGCACGTTAGTGTAAGAATAATTAATCTCTGTCAACTTAGGCATAAAACCCTTTTCACTTTACCATGCTGTTCTGTCCATTTTGCTTGCCCACCAACTACTAAACTATAGAGATGGGATTGCTCTATCAGTGTGGAAGGAAGGAGCTGTTCGTAGATCATTTTCTTCACATCTTTCTCTCTTTAGGATGGGATTGAAGTTTCAAGCCTATTAAATATACATTTATGAAGGCTCTTTATGAAACAGCAGCACACCTAATCACAATTATGGCTTTTGAAGATGGTGCTAAAAAGGAGCTTCAGGAAGTTGGTATAAAGAACTCAAAGGGTGGTTCTCTTTTTGGGACTAGTCTAGCATCTATGGAGTCTTTGTCCCTGCCACTGGTCTGTGTTTTTGCTAACTCTATTTTGAGTTTTGACCATGGATTTCTAGAATATCCTCCTGCCTGATGGTTTGGTTCTGCTGTTATAAATACAGGTTCAGGAGGTTGTTCTTTCTGCAGATATGCAATGTGAAAAGTGTCAGAAAAGGGTAACTGACATTATTAGGAAAATGAATGGTAAGCTTATTTGTTAAATTCCCTTCATTGAAAAATTTGCAATGCTACCTTTTAAGATGTTCATTAGTTTGTTAAATTGTTGATTGATTTGAAGCTCTATTGAAAAAAAAGAAATTCTTAGAAAGAATAGGAGCACTTAAACTCAATGCCCTCTCCCTTGATTAGTTCACAAAACGATAGCAGAGAAGAGAGAGATGTATAACACGAACAAATCTTTAGTGCTACTAGCACCAAAGATTCAGTATATCCCACCAATAAAAATATTACATGTCAGTTAAAGTTTTATTTTCTCTGACAATTTTTTTTTCTCTCCTGTGATGTAATGCTCTCATTGGTGAGATGCACTGAATCTTGGTGCAACAGTAGCACCAAAGATTTATTCGTATAACACACATCATAACAGGTGGTCTTATTGGTTTCCACCAAGGAATAGCCTGGCATATGTTTTGGCAGCTAGTGTGGGGGAACTATTAATTTATACAACTTTCATTTTTGTTATTTATTTTTGGGTAAATTATATTTACAAATTTTTTATTTATAAATTCTTATAAAATATATTATGCATTCCTTAATCACCCATGTTATTGTTAATTGCATAATTGTCACCTTCTAATTAGTCTGAACTTACACCTACATAGGTAGTTTACATCTAAGCCATTAATTAGGCCACATAGGTATGAAGACACAGAAAAGCATAAAGCCGTCATAAGATTATCGTTTAGCAAAGGACGATTCACCTAAATATAATATGGGAATTATTCTTCTTGTGTTAGTAGGAAAAACCAAATTCATTCTTACACTAACAAAAATTTATGGGTCTTATTAGTTAAAAAAATAAAAAATAAAATAAGGAAACACAACAACAAATATCGAAGCGTTGAAGAATATTGTTTTTTCCTACAGCAGAAAAATAAAACCCATATAATATATGCTTTTGTTTCAAATATAATATAAAAATTATTCCTGAATTTTTATATATTATATTGTTTTTGTATCAGGGCTTTCATAATTACGCGATACAGAGTTTTGCTGGTTTTTACCCATCAGCTTACAAAAAAAATAAAAGTGATACAGAGTTTAACCCTTGTACTTCTATTCTTTTAATAAATAATATATATATATATATATATATATATATATATATATATATATATATATATATATAAAAGGTAGGTCAATACATTATTCAATACATTATTCACTCTCTTCAAACTCTTTTCCCCACCTTAAGAGAGCCTATTAGAAATATAGTATAAATACGATTATGTATCTTAATCGTTTTTTATATTATATTTTTAACATCGTTCACAAAAATTAGCCACTGTTCTCATTTTATTATTCCATATATGTTGCTGGTTTGATTGATTAGATTAACAAACTATGAGAGCACTGGGTTTTGTTCCTTCGTAGGAACAATTTTATCCATATAAGGATTCTCACGTATTAAATTGAATTAGTTAATAATGCTTTCTATTTCATGAACTTTAAGATAAAATTGTAATGGTACTTTCTCTTGTTAACTCTTGATACATGCCTCATTTTTTTATTTTTTTTGATCTTTAGTAGAGACAGAGTCCGTGGTGGTGAATGTGTTGGAAAAGAAAGTGATACTCACTTTTAAATTACCAACTGTTACTCGGCAAATTACTCCCATCAACAGGAATCCTCTCCCTAAAGTTGCCATTATCAAACGTATATTTCGCTCTTCCCGTGGTTAACTGCTACTTACCAACTATCCACATTTTCATATGAATAATTTGTAGATTAATTTGACATTGTACAGAAGAAGTTATTGTTTTCATGATTGAATTTGTTTTGTGAATTTGACACAGTAGAAAGATTATGAATTCATAATTTAGAACAAATTTTTGGTAGATCCGGTATATCAAATTTGGTACACTCATTTATTAAAATGGGTAATTTTTTTTTTACTTTAACCTTTGTTTTTTTTATGGATTCGCTTTTTCTAGGTCAATGAAGATAACTTATCTATATTGAATTCAAAACGACGTCGTTTTGAAGTAGAAATAAAGGTATTTTTGTAATTATAATTTATTTCAGGATTATAATAGTCTTTGTCATTATGATTTTTTAATTTTTCAACTCAAAACGATGTCATTTTGAGAATAAATGTAGATAACTTATCTATATTTAATTTAAAAATATGAAAATCTTTATATATATATGAGGTAGGATCCTTTGACACCAGTGTCAAATTTGAATTTTGACACCTTATCTAAGAACCATTAGATAAAAAAAGATCAATGGTATCATATACTTACAAATCAGAGCCGTTGATCTTTTCTGATCTAATGGCTCTCAGTTGAGGTGTCAAATTTTAAATTTGACACCGGTGTCAAAAGATCCTACCTCTATATATATATATATATATTTCTCTATGTCCCTTCAAACTTTCCTCATTTAGTGAACTCCGTAATACTAAAGAAATATTGCATGATTGAACCTGTTTTTTCCAAAAACGCTACAAAATTAGAGGTTGAGAATTTTATATGTTAAGGGGTTACCTTAATGCTGATTATAAAACTTCGATAATATATAAAAGGGTTTTATGTTTATTATTTTACATAACATAATTTCACTTTCCTACACACATATTAAAGAGGTGGGGTCCACATATTTTTCTTTCTCTTTCATCATTTCACTTTCTCTCTCACAATTATTGTGTGTGTTGGAAAACCCACTTATATCATGTTACATAACATTAATAAAACCCTATATAAAAAGGTGCTTTATAGTTTAAAGTGTAGCTTTAGGTAATGCAAACCATGTGCATGAGGAGATGCTTCTCCTTGCCATGTTGTTTTCAAATGAATTAAAGGTTACGGTGAAGTCAAGGATAGAAGGACTCATAAGACAAACAACTACCTCTTAGCTTAGTAGAATCAGATTCCAAAATGAAGAAAGATAAAATCTTATTTATTTTAGACAATACATAATTATAAGTATAAGTTGATCCTCGACCTCGAACATTCATACAAAGTCTTTTCCCTATGCCTTTTGGCTTATCCAAGGTGAAACCAATCGTGGGTTCCGTCAATTCCAACCCCATGTCAACAAAGGCAAGTTTTTGTTCTATTCCCACAAAACATTGTTCTTTTCAAAAGTCATTTGATCATTTTGGTCATGTGTTTTATAGATTTTAATGTTGGTTACTTTTTTACAATTGCAGTATTGTTGCATGGTCATGAGAATCAACATTGACTGCAATTCTTGCTGCAGAAAATTAAGGAGAATCATTCTAAGGATGAAAGGTATATGATTTAACAATGAGTCTAATTTTGGTTGATGCAAAATTCAAAACATATATAGTATCGGTTTAATTTATTTGGTAAATTATTTATCAATTTAATACGAGTGTGCGCGTTTAAGTCACGTATCACCCTATGCGCAACTTATACAAAAATCAAAATGTGTCTACCACGTGTCACGATTTGCGTATGAGATACGTGCACGACTTGAACGCGCAGTGTTAGGATACACGTCTTATATTGGTGATTGTTGCATAAGTCGCGCATGAAGATGATGCATGACTTAAACGTGCACACTCCTTATCCACGTTTCACTGACAATAGAATGGTATATAGTTTGTGAAAAAAATTAACCAATTATATATTTGTGTTTTTGCATGGTCAAAAAGCCATTTTTGTTAATTTATAAGTGGGAAATTCTAACAACCTCTTCCTCATTGCATATTGAAGGGATAGAGACCAATTTGATAGAGAAGCAACAGCGCACCGTATATGTATGTGGAAGATTTATACCAGCTGAAGTTGCAATAAAGATAAAGAAAAAGATGAACCGTAGAGTTGAGATCCTTGAAATTCAAGAACTTGAAGGGGAAGTTCAAGAATTTGAAGGCATATAAACCAGAGATAACAGAGAGAACATTGAAACCTTCAATCAGCCAACCATGCTTATGACATAGTGTCTACAATATTAGGCTACTTTTGCAAACGAGGTTCCAAACTATTTGTAAATTGTGGTTACTCTGTTTAAAGGAAGAAGAAAATGGTAGATTAATACTTATACAATACACGATTACAAAATAAAATATAATTAATACATTGTAAATAATAAAAGTTAATAGTTCTCAAAACAAATATTTAAAAAATATAATTAATTCCATAATTTTTTTTATCTTGTTTTATGTTTTTGAAACAAAATCTGTTACTGCTTAAACTGAATGTACACATTTTAATAATCTAAATAAAATTTTATTGGAAAAATATATTAAATAAGTCTTAAATAGAAATATATACATTATATTTATTCTAAAAAAGAGTTAGGAAGTTGATTATTTTATTTGGTTTTTAAAAATCTAGTTACAAACAAATAAAATGATTAAAAGTTGTTGAGCGTAATGATATTTTTTGATTGATGTATTTAACTCATTGGAATTTCTTAAGCAAGAATGAAAAAATTAATTTCATTATCAATTTCATTCTCTGGCTACAAAAGTTATGCCTTGTTTGATTTCCAAAAAAATTATGTCTTGTTTAACACATTTAATATACCAATTTAACTTTTAAGAATATAATTAACAATAAATGGTAAAGTACAACTAGACACATTTATAGGAAATAGAGTAAACACCCTTTTTAGTCCCTGTCAATATCTACGAAGTCCTTTTTAGTCCCTGGCAATAAAAAATGACCAAATTGGTCCCTGAAATTACAAAAAAAGGGTCATGTTAATCCTTGTGTCAACTCCCAAATATGTAGAATGACTCTTTTCTTGTACTTTCAGGGACCAATTTGATCCTTTTTTATTGTCAGAGACTGAAAAGGACTTCATAGATATTGTCAGAGACTAAAAAAGATGTTTACTCTAAGAAATAACATCAAATGCTAAAAACAATAGCATGGGCTATTTATAATGGTCAAATTCGAAGCGACAAACGGTGCACCATTTTCATTCCTTATTACTACATTTGATTATTGCTAGCATTAACTAATATTTAAATTTAATTATTATTATTATTATTATTATTTTGTATTTTAAAATGGTTATTTTGATCTCTAAAAAAAGGAAGCATTACCGTATAAAAAATATTGACAATTGAAGAAAAGTATTGATGTTATAAATAAGAAATGAAACAATTTAAAAATGTATTAATAAAATCAAATAATATCACATAAAATATTCATTAATAAAATTAAGGGATAGGATATTATGACACCCAAGTTATGTTACACCCATGTGACACCCAGTCAATCTCACCGTTAGATCGCTTATGTTGATCCAACGGTTATATTTATTTCCATCTTTTTATGGTCATGATTTTCCAAATTTAAAGTGAAAGCATTAAATATGAAAAATCATAACCATACAAAAATAGAAATAAATATAAAATATTAAATTTGGGAAATCATGACCATTTAAAGATGGAAATAAATATAACCGTTGAATCAACATAAGCGATCTAACGGCGAGATTGACTGGGTGTCACATGAGTGTAACATAATTTGGGTGTCACAATATCTTATCCCTAAAAGTAAACATATTCAAGACAATAAAGGATATTCAAATCCCATGATGATTATTGATCAAGTCTTTGAAGAACATGTGATATAAATATTGCTTTCAATTAATATTCATCAATGTATAATTTTAATATGTAATGTGTAATTTTAATATTATTTGTGTTTAAGTTAAAATAACCAAATGAATGATTATTTTACTTTAGAGAATATGGCCTTTTTTTCCCCCAACCGATTATCCACAAATTCGGTTCGAATACAGTTGAACCCAAATGAAAAACGGTGTCCGAGACTATTATCTCCATAGCCAATTTCGTATTAAATAAAACACGAGGGATCCATTTCCATTATCTCCCTAGCCAATTTCTTGTGTATTGTCGTGTATATATTTGTATTTATCAATACGGAAGAGATTCCAGAGGTTGCTCAAAAATTGAAATAACTACTTGATGGACTGTCATATACTAGGAGCTGTAATGCGTGTGTTGTTACCAAGACATTTTAAATATAAACTTCTCTCTCGTTTTAAAGGATGTAAAATTATGTCATTTTAAGTGATAGAACAAGATAAATAAAAGAGAAAAAAGAGTGAACAAAAAAATATAAAAGTATAAATCCTACCTCTTTGTGAAAGTGAAATGACATAAGTTATGTCATTTAAAATAAGAAATACTTTTTCCATGAAGTAAAGTTATAGGACATCACGATTTGACTAATATTAATATGGGAAATGTTTTTCTTACGTTGGATGAGACAATTTATCTCATGCAACACATAAAAAAATAGGTATGACCTACTAAGAAGAAGAGAGAAAGAAAAAAATGAGTCCCACTAATTTTTGTGTGTATTGTATGACACAAATTGTCTTGTACAAATTGTCTCATGCAACGTGACAACTCGTACAAAGTAAGGCACGTGCGAGGAGGTTCCTACCAATTTCTATGACCAGTGTTCTCTGTAGAATTGATACCCAACATAAGCTCCGTGTTCTTCCGAGCACCAAATCAAAATCCTAACACTAGCTCTCCAACTGTATCCGATCATGGCCACCGACTACGGCCATGATTCCCGTTGCAAGCACCGTCGGTCTTCCTCTCCGGAGGACGCCGACAGATCCTCGAAGCGCCACCGCCACCACCACGGTCATGGAAGCAGAAGACGCGACGAAGACAGCGAATGCGATGGCGAAACCGTTCCGGTGGTTCCTTCTGCGACTCCCGCCTCGAATTCTTTCCCGAATCGTCACGTGCCCGTTGACGATGATATCGAGGAGGGGGAGATTATCGAAGAAGATGATTGTGATGTTTGGAAACAGCGGAAGGAATCTGATGCTGAGCCTGGTGATGTTGAGGTGATCGGAGATCGAGATGTTGGATCTGATACCGCAATTCTGGTATGTTGGATTGAAATTTTGTGAAATTTATTTGCACTACACGAACGTGTGTGAATTGCAAAAGAAGTCTCTCTAGGCATTTCAGTGAAGAATGGTGACTTTACAGTTAATTTTTAAGAGCGGTTACCTGTCTTTTGGTTTTCATTTGCTTATGGACTGGACTGGTGTTGATGTTTTAGTTGCTTTATTAATCAATTATATTGCCTTTATGAATTTAATTACTGCGTTGGGTTGTGCAGAGATTTTTCACCAGAGAGACTGTGTTGCATGCTAAAAATTCAAAAACTAGTCCAGCATTTGATGGAACAGATGGGACATGCCTTCAAAGTCACGTTGACGAAGGAATAGATGAAGATGATGGTTCTCCTAATTATTCAAGTGCTGACTCTCAAGATGGAAAGTATGCTAGAGCTAGAATAGATGGTATGAGCAATGGGCATTTGGATTCTAAATCTCCTAAAGGGGATAAGAGGCATCGTGGAGAACTTGGATGTTTTAAAGGATATGAGAAACTAAAAGGTGATTATGATGGCAAAGATGTAGAAGTTAATAGAGGGAAAGTAGATTATCATAGAAATTCTTCCTCAGAAAGTGGGGAGGAGAAATATAGAATGTCGGGACGTTCACCTTCTCATGTTAGATATAGAAGTCAATCAAGATCAAATGGTTATATCAGGGACAGATCTCGTTCTCGTAGTATAGTAGAAGAATATGCCTGTTCCCAGAGAAGGCTCTCTGATGAACTAGGTGGCCTTTCATTTGCTGGCAGACCAAAGAGTGACTATGATGTTGATGATGAAAGAATGGTGGCAAGAAGATGGGAGCATAGTCATGGCAGTAGGGATTTGGTCATGGACGAGAGAATGGAACACAGAGCAAGTCGTCACATTCGGGAGCCCTGGGATAGGGATAGGAGTAAGGAAAGACATGCTGATAGGGCCTTACCTAGGGAAAAGGAACGAGAGAGGGGCAAAAATAGGGAGGTTGACTGGGTGTGTACAAGGGAAAAAGATTGTGAAAGGAGCCATGAGAGGCATGGAAGGGATATAGAGTATGATAAGAGTGGGGAAAAGGAGGATAATAGGGATAGGAGAAGAGAAAAGGAAAGAGATAGGAGCTGGGAAACAGTGTTGGAGAGGGATAGGAGAAGGGAGATGGAAAGAGATAAAAGTAGGGACAGAAAAAGGGGTTCTGAGAGAGATAGAGACTGGGAGAGTGAGCGTGATGATAAGACTTGGTTGAGGGCTAAAATTAAGCGGAGGGGGAGGGTGGGGGAGAGGGAGAGGCGAGATGATAGAAATAGGCACAAGCATAGAGACACTGTGAATGGTAAGGATAAGTATCTGCATCATGAGGATGGTTATGACAGTTGTGATAAATATAAAATGCATTCAAGACATGAAGATATAGAATACCACCGGGAAAGAAAAAGAAATTCTGATGCTGTAAAGGCTTACAGCACTATTGGCAGTACCTTGGTAGATGATAAAAACAAACTAGGGAGGTACTTAATTATCGATAAAATCTTCTTACCAGTATGAATCTTTTGCATGCCTTTCTTTTTCTTTTTTGTATTTTTGTATTTTATTTTATTTATATTGATTGCAGAGGCGAGGATGAACAAGATTACTTAAATGAGAAGTTTGCATTGCAATTACCTGATCAAGAAGAGGAAGATCTCAATAGGGTCAAAGAGGAGAGTAGAAGGAGAAGGGAATCAATCTTAGAGAAATACAAGAAGCAGCAGCAGCAAGAAGTAAAACAAACTGCAGAAAATGAAGAAAAAGGTATCCTTTGTTCTCTTTATCGTCTTTTTTATTTTCTTTATTGGGTTGAGTGTATTAACTAGCATTAGTTAAGTGATCTTTGGAAAAGTTAAAAGTGTATTCTGTATTATGGCTTGCAGTATGCATCAAGAATGCCTTTATTTATAAAATGATATTCTAAAGCATGTGCCATATAACACATGTTCCTTGAAGTTGCTTGTGTGAATTGGAAAATATTTTGATCCAGTGGTTAAGTCCTGAACTATGATACTATTCTCTTCTTGATAGAGGAGGAGTTGTCTTTGGGATCCAAAACCATTCTCTTCTTGGTCCAGTGTGTCCAGGGTCCTGTCTTGAAGATGCTGAAGGTGGAGAATTTGAGCCTGAAGTATTGCTGTCATTATTGACAGAGGGGGTGGGTGATTGTAGACTAACCAAGTGAGAAGCAGTTAATGGAATTAGATTGGAAACAGGAGAGGAATCAAACTGGGGCTTGAGGTTAGTGGAGTCGTGCTTAAACCAAGAGGATTAAGGAAACTTTGTTTCATTAAAGAGTACATCGTTGGAGATGAAGAGTCTGCCATTAGAGTTGAGACATTTATATCCTTGGTGGTTTGGAGAATAACTGAGAAAGATGCATTCACGGGATCTGAAATCAAGTTTGTGATTATTATCAGGGCGTAAGAAAGAAAAACAAGAGCATCCAAATACTTTGAGAAAGTTGTAATCTGGAGACATTTTGTGTAGTTTGGTGAAGGCAATTTCAAAGTTAAGTGTAGTTGTAGGAAGGGAATTAATGAGGTACGCAGCTGTAATGAAAGCACGATCCCAAAACTTTATAGGCAGAGAAGCATAAGCCAAAAGAGTTAATTCGGTTTCCACTATATGTCTGTGCTTGCATTCAACCACACCATTTTGGTGATGGGTATGAGGACAGCCTATTTTGTGGACAATGCCAAGTTGTTTGAGAGTTAGTTAGGTAAAGGGTTGGAATTCACCACCTTTGTCAGTTTGAAGGGCTCTAATTGAAGTCTAAAATTGATTGGCTATAAGGGTATGAAATTGAGTAAAGATTGTTAAGTGCTTCTGACGGTAACTTTAAGGGGTAGATCCATGTGTATCTGGTATGAGCATCAACAAAGGAGATGTAATATGTGAATCCCATTGAGGATTTAACAGGGCTGGTCCACACATGTTACTGTAGACCAAATCAAATGGTTTACCATATTAATTATTGGAAGGAGAGGAAGATAGTAAATTGGAACTCCTCAGACAACAAGCAGAGAAGAAGTCATGTTCTGTTATTATATAGAATTTTAGGATATTAATATCATTCGAAAAAGCAAGAGTAGCAGTATGTTAATTCCTCATCCTTAAATGTGTCCTTCCCTTGTTTTCTTGTCTGAACGAATAAAGGGAATTACATAAAATCTCGAAAAAGCAAGAGTAGCAGGGAAAGTCCACGGAAAACTTGTATTTTTTTTTTCTATTTTTTAGGATTACATTAAACAAAAGGATTCGCAAATAAAAGTGCTAATGCAACAACCAGCCCATAAATTGTTAAAGCTTCCATAAAAGCCAGACTAAGTAATAAAGTGCCCCGTATTTTTCCCTCTGCCTCCGGTTGTCGCGCAATCCCCTCTACAGCTTGTCCTGCAGCAGTGCCTTGACCAACCCCAGGTCCAATAGAAGCAAGCCCGACAGCCAACCCAGCAGCAATAACGGAAGCGGCAGAAATCAATGGATTCATGATAAGTTCCTCGCACTCCAAATAAAATAAAGAAAATAAATAGTTAATGATATAATCAACCAACAAATTATGACTTCATTATTCAATTACTAAGATTGGTGCAGTCGCAATAATAAAGAGTTCCGAATTGAAAATAAGAATATTTATCGAACTCGAACTATCCTAATTACTTTGATATTTCTTTTTTTGTTTCTACCTACGTAGTTTTTACAACTTTTGTTATTATGTTATTATTTTCCATTAAAATTTCGAACCATTATTTGAACTCTTCATTTTTTGTCTTGATTTACTCTCTTTAGTCATACCATGTAAAGAACCACTTCAACCAAAAACCTTAAGGTGTTGAGTGAGGACTTTTTTAATGGTTTATATTATTCTCTAACACAATCTTGAGAGCCTCATTATGAGGATGACCTGGGCGACATTGCCATAGGAAGTACATAAAGTTTTAAACAGTAGGTTTTCCTAGTGTATTGCCATTGGCATCTATACACATCTTAGTTGAACTATCAGAAAGAAATCATATACAGAACATAGGTTAGAATTACAACTAGAAACAATAGAATAGAGTTGCAGTGAGGTAGATTTTTTTTATTTGGGTTGAGAGAGCTGGACTCCACTAAACTGGTATAAGCCTTCTAAACCCAGGGTACCCTCCAATAGTGTCTCATTGGACTCTTGTGATTTAACAAAAAAGGTAAATGGGTGAAATTCAAAGTACACCCCACTATCTTTGCAAAATTTGCTTACACTAATCAAGTTCTTTGTTATATAGGGATCAAGAAGCAAGTTATGAAGAAATAGATTAGTGTGTGGTTTAAGTGGTGAAGGGAAAAAGGAAGAACCAGAGAGCGCCTGAGAGCGCCTGAGAGCGCTTTGAAGCAGGATTTGTGAATCAGGGGTTACACGGTGAGATGCTCCTGAGTCTGGATAGTGCTCCAAATTTTGGACATTTGAAGGAGTTGGCAGAACACCCTGAACATTCTCTTTGTTACTTGGGTTCCAAGCTAGTAGAGGTGATCCTTATCTCTTCATATATAGGGCTTGTTCTAAGAGGATCTTTATTTGTTGGTTTATGTAGACGACATAATTGTCACTGGCAATGATACTTTATTTATACAGAATCTTATTTCTCAACTCTACTCTACTTTTGCATTGAAGGATCTTGGTGAGTTAGACTATTTTCTTGGGATTGAGGTTCCCAGACCATCTCCTGGCTCACTCTTCCTCACTCAGTCAAAATACATCAGAGATTTGCTCACTCACGCCAATATGCATGAAGCCAAGCCTATTTCCACGCCATGCCATTTAGTTGCAAATTATCCAAATTTGGTTCCAATTATTTTGAGGATCCTCATTTGTATCGCTCTATAGTTGATGCATTGCGGTATGCTATCATAACAAGACCTGAGATCAGTTTTTCTGTTAATAAGGTCTGTCAATTCATGAGCCAGCCCCTATTGTATCATTGGAAGATTGTCAAGTGTATTCTAAGATACCTTCAAGGGACTCCTATTCTCGGCCTTCACCTGCAATCAGCTAAAGCTTCGGCTACTGGTCAGTTTTTCACCATTACAGCATTCTGTGATGCTGATTGGGGCAGTGACCCTGACGACAGAAGGTCCACCTCTAGTGCCTGTATCTTTCTCCGACCCGATTTGGTATCTTGGTGGTCTAAGAAGCAGTCACTAGTGGCCAGATCTACTGCTGAGGCTGAATACTGAAGTATGGCACTTGCTTGCGCATAAATCATGTGGTTGAAATCTTTATTTTATGAGCTGCAGTTGCCTCTTTGCGCTCCTCAAAGATTTTGTGATAATTTGAGTGCAGTAGCTTTATCCCATAATCCTGTCATGCATGCCCGTACTATGCATCTTGAACCGGACATTCACTATGTGAGAAAGTTCTGGCCAAGGAGATGGTGATTTCTCATGTCCCTGCTGCTGACCAACTGGCTGACACACTTACCAAGCCTGCTAAGCTTGAGGGGGAATATTAGCGTAGCTTTTTGTATTGTAGTTTTGAGTGCAGTAGATTATTGCCCTCACTTGTCTGTTAGTTGGTATTGATTTGTTAGAGTTTCTGTTAGGGTGCTGACTCATCCTTGAGTTTCCTTCAGCTCTATAAATAGATCTTGTAACACATTCTTCTGTAACTAATTTTTCAGATCTGAATACAATGAATTCGTTCCATTTTCTCCGATTTTCTCTCACTTTATCAAATTTTATCACTGAACTTTATTAGTTTTTACGACCTCCTCTACCACTTTTTCCACGATTATTATGACCAAAAGGCCTATTGGAGTTTTGTTCATTCTTCTGGTTATGAGGTGCTGAAGGCTTCTGAGCTACATTCACGGACAAACTCAGATAGGATAGATTCATTCAGCTTTGTCAACATAATTTCATGAACCATAAGCTCAACTTATCAATTGCATAGGGGTTTTCTCGTTCTCACAGGTAACAAAAGCATTGAACTCTGCTGGCAAGCCATCAAGCCATCAAGGATCAACTCTATTTGTTTGTCCATTGGAATGGGGATTTTAATGGCTTTTTTCCACCCTTTTTGATGGTGCGAAGTTCAGTTCTAAGCTGATGCGCCTTAGATTTCATCATTCAGTGGAAAAGCTTGTGTACATGTTCCTAAGCTTCGCATGCATGTCGTATTTCTAATATCTCATTCACTATTTCCTCTGAAATGGTTGAAAGCAACCAGGGTAGAAGCACTTGATCTTGGTGAAGCCATTTCATATAAGTTGGGTTCATGATATTTTTTAAATGATCTTGCTGTAAAGAATGTTGCAGCGATATCTTAGGGTTGACAAGAAAGTGATGAAGCTGATGCGGTGTTATCACAGGCTCCATGATCTGGTTCCATAGCTGGTAGTGAGCTTCATGGAGATTTGATGGTTAAAGAGTAATGAAGCTCCGTTCTCCATTGTAGATCTGTTCTCCGTCATTGCATTATCGTTTGGTTGCACTGACGCTGAAGACATGGAATTTCAGATTTGTGTCAGACCCTCAGAGAGAGCTCTGATACCATCAATGAACTGAAGAGAAAGACGAGGGAGAAGGGAAAGTAAGAGAGAGAAGAAAGTAAAGTGTTTCAAACTTATTCAAAAGTCAAAGAAGTGGTATACAGCTGTCCATATTTAGACCTAAGTAATGGTGACTGCAAGTGAGTCAGTTGTAACAATCCAACTGAAAGGTAACTAAAACAGTAACTAAAAGGGATAACATTCCTCTGGTCAAACAAACAGTAACAAAGTAAGTCCTACTAAGTTACTTTTAACTAATACACCACAGCTGGCATTTATATGCTAATATGCAATAATTGTGTTTATTGTTGTTCTATCCCTCTGCCCTCCCCTCCCTGCCACTTATAATAACTTTCTAATGCATAATTTTTTAACTATGATTAGACAAGCAAGTTGTGGATATTCCTCATGTCATTCATGAAGCTTTTGATGGTAAGAGCAATGGTGTTGATGATGGGGAAACGTCATTTTCTGTTGGGAAGTCTCCTCCAGAAAATGGGAATGTTGCTTCCGATAAGATCTCTGTTTCTAGGGGCCTGGGAGAGGGTACGCCTAAGGTTTGTGTACTTAAATTAGTTTATGCTTTAAAGAAAATGTTATAACTTATAATTAAATGATTTTATTTATACTCCTTTATTTAGTTTTGAAGCTCCTTTATAACATTTACAGAGTGAGAGATCAGATGACAAGTTTTGTGATGATATATTTGGTGAGACACCAACTGGAGTTCGGAACATGGTAAGCATTTTGTTAAATTCATGCTAATTATGAATGGCTGATGCTGTTCTGTGTTTACTCAATTGTACAAGTTGTTGAGTTCGTAGTAAGTCAAGATATCGTTTCTGATTTGGTTAGTTGTTTTTTAGGAAGTCATCCCCCATCGCGTATCTCCTGTGTCCTGTGTCCTTTTTACAGTTTTTTTTTTTTTTTTTTCTTTTACTTTTCCCTTTTTCTATGCCTACTCTAAGTTTGCTTCTAAACACACGTCTTGCTATAATAATAACATGTCTCTCTCTCTCCAAATCCAATCTATGTTGCTGTAATAATTGTCTTACCTTTTGTGCAATGGTTGATTTTTAATGCTGGGTTTTAATCTGTTGTAATCAACTTATCTAGCAACTATCGATTACAGTTTATATGTTTCTAATATATTTTTCTTCAGCTTTTTTTATTCCTTTCAGCTGTTAATCTATTCATTGCTTTTTTGTTCTGGGTTCTATTTTCTTGTGTTCCTTTTATATTGTTGAGATATATAGTCCCACATTGGTTGTATGTGCAACTAATGTGGAGTTTATAAGGTCTTGGGCACTCCCACCCTTAGAGCTAGCTTTTGGGGTGGTGTATCCCAAGGTTCTTTACATGGTATCAGAGCCTCGCCGTCCCCCACTTTCTCTTGTGGCGTTTCTTAGCACAGGTAGGCTGGGCCTGTTGCATTGTCCACTCTTCAAGCCCAATGGGCTCTCGTGTGAGGGGGCGTGTTGAGATATATAGTCCCACATTGGTTGTATATGCAACTAATGTGAAGTTTATAAGGTCTTGGGCACTCCCACCCTTTGAGCTAGCTTTTGAGGTGGTGTATCCCAAGGTTCTTTACATATATTAAGATTTTCTTCCTTATTTGCAGGGAAAAGGAGATGGTATACAGATTGAGAGGGGTGGTCTACATGACAATTGGGATGATGCAGAGGGTTATTATAGTAAGTTATTCATTTGATTGTATTAGCTGTTTTTATAATTCTCTTTTGATTATTGCCGTGATGCTTAACTAATTTGTTTTGTCTGTGTTTACCGTACCTCTATCAGAACATTATCAGTTGATTTTTGAAACTTTTCTTATTATAGTAAGTCTTTGAAAGTTCTTGAAAACATAAATGTTGATTTTTTCCTTTCTAATTTGAATGTCTGTACTGTACATTTGCTTTTGGGCCTTGGCCTCATTTTTCCATTAAAAACATAAGAAGGCCTTGGACAAGAATTTTTAGTTGTCACTGATATAATGAAATTAAGGTTCAAAAGTCAGCCTTATGTTTAATATTTTTTGCAATTGAGTTTTTTTAATAAAATAATTTCTTTATTGAAGTGTTTCCAATTTTATGATATCTGTTGGGGTGTATCTGTCAATATGATGTGGAAATTCTCTTAGGGGCAAGACAGTCTTTAGATTTTTTGTTTTTATGTTAATAGTGTTATATTGCCATATGATTTTGCAGGCTATCGTTTTGGTGAAATACTTGATGGCCGATATGAAGTCACCGCTGCTCATGGGAGGGGTGTCTTTTCAACAGTAGTCCGGGCAAAGAATCTTAAAGCTGGTAACGGAGAGCCCGAGGATGTAGCTATAAAAATTATTCGTAATAATGACACTATGTCAGTGGCTTTGATTTCTGTGGTATCATCATTTTCTGCTTTTTGCCTGTGTCCTTTATACTCACTGTTATATCTCCACTGTGGCACAGGTACAAGGCTGGTATGAATGAGTTAGTCATATTAAAGAAATTAGTAGGTGCTGATCCAGATGATAAGCACCATTGTGTTCGTTTCCTTTCAAGTTTTAAGTACAGGAATCACCTTTGTTTAGTTTTTGAATCTCTCCATATGAATTTGCGTGAGGTTCTAAAGAAGTTTGGTCGCAATATTGGCCTTAGGCTAACTGCTGTGAGAGCATATGCAAAACAACAACTTATTGCACTGAAGCATCTCCGGAACTGTGGTGTTCTCCATTGTGATATAAAACCAGATAATATGTTGGTACGCCAAAATACTATTTTGTGGTTATGTTGTTTCTTTTCAAAGAAATAATTTTATTTGTTTGTTTGTTTGTTTGTTTCTTCTCAAGACGAATATCCCTTTTTTCTTGTGTTTTTCAACTTCCTATTTTCACCAGGTGAATGAGGCTAAAAATGTGTTGAAGCTTTGTGACTTTGGTAATGCTATGTTTGCTGGTAAAAATGAAGTTACACCATATCTTGTGAGTCGCTTTTATCGTGCCCCTGAAATAAGTAAGTTTCTTCAGTACATTTAGTTGCGTATTAAGTGCTAACCAATTTTTTCTGGTTGAATATCATGTGTTTTAACTGTTGGAATTTTGAATTTTTCTATGCAGTACTTGGCTTGCCCTACGATCATCCATTGGATATGTGGTCTGTAGGTTGTTGTTTGTTTGAACTCTATACAGGGAAAGTTCTTTTTCCAGGTTCTACAAATAATAACATGCTACGGCTTCACATGGAATTGAAGGGTCCTTTTCCGAAGAAGATGCTACGTAAGGTAAACATTTATTTTTCATTTAATTGTTGTGTGTTTTGTCACTGTATGAGATTTTTGAATGATAAGTATCAGAGCTAAAATTAAAGGAGCTGAGAAAGGAAACAACCCCAACTCTTGTATTATCACACTGCTATTCATGAGAAACCAGTCATACTCCTACAGAACAGTTTCAACTCTCAATAAAAAATAAACAGAAGTCAGATTTTTAGAACAGAACTAAAATTCTTGAAATGAAAGATGAAGAAGGAAAAAAAAGATCAAAACAATTAGAGAGGCTCTTAATTCTCTCCCAAGCCCAGCCTATGCCTTAGTACCAAGCTGCCTTTCATTTCCCTACTTTCCCTCTTCATGCAGGAGGTTGTTCCTCGTTACTAACAGAATCCTCATTCACCTTTTCCTAATATTCTTTTCTAACAACCTTCCTATCAGGGAGTTAATTACTTTAATGTTTGATGCTTTAGATTTGGTTTTGTCATCCCTATTTTTTCTCTCTCTTGCTTATTCTGTTATTAAATTTACCCTCTTATGTAGTCTGTATCTTCAATTGAATATGTGGTTTTTCTTATGATGTGTAGTTATTTTTATACTATGTTTTCAGGGAGCATTCATTGAACAGCATTTTGATCAGGACCTGAATTTTCTTGCTACAGAGGAGGACCCTGTAACGAGAAAGGTGAGCTCGATTTTCATCTTGAATTTTTAATTGATTCTGTTGGCATTGTTAGATTGAATAAGTAAGTTCTGAAGATTGTTATTAATAGGTGTTCTTTTTTTGCTTAGACCATAAAGCGGATGATTGTCAACTTAAAGCCAAAAGATTTTGGTACAATCATTACTGGCTCCCCAGGGGAGGATCCAAAGATTTTAGCCAACTTTAAGGATCTTCTCGAAAAAGTTTTTGTGTTGGATCCAGACAAGAGGTTGACGGTCTCACAAGCATTGAATCACCCATTCATCACTGGCAAGTGAACAATGTTGCTGATTTTGACTCAGAATGTTTTTCACTACTATTTGTAAATAATGTTCCAATTCATATTGAGATTCTAATCATTTGGCATTATTTATCTTCTCTGTATGGCCCAAGCGATATCAGCGTTGTTGACCTGTTGAAGGGAAAAAGGGTGATGTCTGGTCAGAGTAACACTTTATTGGCGGTTCTTTCAGTGGAATGTACTGTTTCTATTGTAAGATAACATGCCAAGGGCTGTTTCTTCATACTTGTGTGGCTGTTTGTACGTTGAATTGCTCTTGCAATTAAGTCCATGGGAATTTTATTAGAAGTTCAATTTCGTATAACTTGTACTAAATGATGATCCTTTGTAGAAGATAGAGTGGCTTATTTTTGCGTTTCTTTTATCATGGTTCTACACATTTTACATAACTATTGTCTATTGCTTATTTTTTTTACTAAACTGGCTTGGATTTTAGAGATTCTAATTTAGTTTTTCATTCAGGAGACTGCCACTGGTTTGAAGCATCCCTCCCGTGATTAGATGCTTAAAAGGCACCCAGGAGAAGGTATCTTGGTTTGTTTATTGGGAGATTAAATCGACCATAATAGAATGAGTTTTGATTTCCTTTACAAATTTCTTCAATTCCAATAGGATAGTTGCTGGGTTTGAATTACAGGAAATTTATCAAGATAAGTTTGGATGGTCTTTTTTGAGTCCTGAGGAAATTCGATGGTTGGTGTTGCTCTCCAAGTACATGTGAGCATGTTATTTTGCTTTGTAGGTTAGGTAGATGGGTCAGGTGAATGGTGTTAGGTTTTGATCGGTATGCTAGGTGCCTTCTTTTTTTTTTTTCGGGGGGGGGGGGGGTTTGGGTGTTTCTTGCTGTCATAACTTGAGGCAGGCTGTTTATAGATATTTGTTAAATTTATATTATAGCTTTTCTTTCCATCAAATAGTTTGAATTCTTTTTACATTTATTTTCTTAAATTTTCCTACATTGCATATCCTAATGAAATTGCATTGCATCTTATTCATGGCTTGTCATTCTGGAGGAATTTGAATTGGAGGTGTTTGGCTGTATTCTTGAAGCAAATTCTAATATCAGTATCAGTAAGTAATTCAATTAAGAAACTTTTGTTTTGTTAAGTTTTGTTAAGCTTGTGGTACCGGTTAAAGTTGATGCTTCTTTTATTTGACTGAAGTGTCAGGATTTTGATTTGCTTTTTGCTTTTTTAGGTACCATCCTTTGGTCCTGCAATTTTCGTAAGTGTATATAAGTCCAATTCCTTTCTCATCTTTTTCCGCATTGATGGTCTATGGCATTCGGTTTATAATGATGGTCTCTCCTCGTTCTTATTCATTTTTTCATTTATTTTTATATTGTGCAAGTTCGTAAGTACTTTGCAAGTTCGCAACTATGATGGTCTCATCTTTTCCTAAATTGACGAATTGCAAGTTCGTAACTATTTCATTGAAGTATTCGGTAGTGTTTCGGATTATGAATGTGGTGGTGTTTAGAACATTAGTTTTGACTGTACTTTCTTATGCCTATGTTGTTGCCTCTGACTTCTAAGGACTTTCCTTGTGTGTCCCCTGAACCCCTAATAGTAGTAACTTGCTGTTTGGTCGGTGTCTTTACACAAATTGGGGAGCATGTGAATTTGTTGTTCGATTTATGTTGAGTATAAATAATTGTAACAACTACCCTCTAATCATATTACTTTCTTCTTCTTCGTCCTTTTTTTTGTGTGCATAATACATACTACACCTTATTTTCTGAGATGCATATACATAACACACCTTTGTTTTTTCTTCTTTTTATATTCGAATTTTGAATAAATATCTGTTAAATATATTTTTGAGGATTTTAAAATTTCAAACAACTACCCACTAATTACAATTTCTTAATTTTAAATAACTAACCCCTGATTTTAATTGTAACTGGACGTTTTACCTTCGGATGTAGCTAGTTTCTCTGTTAGATTCTTGTTAGAGATGTTGTATAAAACCATGAATTTGTCTTCGTCTAGTAGCTGAAGCTTTTGGAATAATTGGTTCATAATATGACATTAGAGCTTCTATAATCAAGTAATTTAGAGCTTGAACCTTGTCACTGCCATTCTTCTAATAAAAAGTTAAGGAAAAACTTCACTTTCACTCATTGTGGTTACAACAATTATCACATAGCCTCCCGTGATTTTAAACTTATCACTTTGACCCATCGTTGTTATAGAATATATTATTTAGCCCCTATGATGTCTAAATTGCCCTTACTATATAAAATATCGATAGTAACCCTACTCAAAAAATAACAAATTATATGTGAAATTTAAAAATTGAGCTTAATTAAAAAAATTCTAAAAATAATATCTGAATCAAGAACGAAGAGACCAGAGATAAGCAGGGGAAATATTACTCCTATGAACTTTGCCTTAATTATTGCCAAGAATAAGCAATGGAAACATTATAATCATGAACTCTTCCTTAACTATTGCCGAGAAATAAGCATTGGAAGCATTACTCCTCAGATTGAGATGAAGTTTCAATACGTGAATAGGGGTTAAGATTTTATGCACAGTGATGACCCTCAACTATATATGCACAATGATGACCCTCAACCAGTGTCCTGTGATTTAGAGACTTCAGATAATCATATTGAGTTATCCACTAAGTGGAATGCCAAAAGTGATAGAATAATTGTGCATTAAATGAGGTCGGGGTTGTGGTAGTTCTATATTAGAGATAAGACACATCTTTCCATATGGATAGTTATCATACTCAGAAGCCAAAGCCCATGGTATACTAAAAAATTGGGAAATTGAACAAACAACTCTTCAGCAAATAGAAGCAGAACCAAGCTACAACTCTATGAGAAAGACATAGTTTAGAGAATGCACAAATGACAGTAACATATATTGTCCAAAGTCAAGAGACATTTTAAAAGAAGGGTTGTTCCTTATTCAAAAAGCATTGGACTTATAATGAACCATTGTGACATGAATAGTCTATATTTGATTAGCTTTCAGTATATTAAACTTGTGAGCATTGTAAAAGAAGGGTTGTTCCTTACTCAAATAATATTGAATGTTAATGTGCAAAATTATTTTACTATTAGTCCATCTTTTCATCTAGGAAGTAATTCTTTTTCAATTAGTGATTATATAGTGTGTGTATTTATAACCATTGGATCAAATTAAGTAAAATGGTTAAGATTAAAATTAAGCGGAAAAAAATTAGGTATTTTTAATCAGAATTTCTTTTTTAATTGGGGATATTTTTGACATTTTAAATATAATTTAGGATTTTTTTAAAGTATTATCAATATTTTATATAATAAGAACATTTTAGACATTCAAGGGGCTAAATGATATATTCTATAATCACGATGGATATGAGTGTTAAGTTTGAAACCACAGACGGTTAAGTGGTAATTGTTGTAACCACGATGGGTGAAACTGAAGTTTTTCCAAAAGTTAAATTCAGCCCAAGTGGACCGCCCCGCATTGTCCATGCTTCAAGTCCAACGGACTATTGCTTGAGGGGGTGTGTTAAAAGATGTTAATATAAAACCATGTGTCTTCACTTTAGAAACTTAATTTTGGATTGTTTGTTAGTTGCAATTCTGAATGAAGCTTTTTCACATGCCTTGATGTATGCTATTGACTGCCCTCTTGAATATCCTGATTTTTTTATATCCTTAATAATCTGGTTTCTTAATGGTGTGTTGGTTGTTTACCACACGTGGTTTTTCTAAGTTTTAGACAGAAATCGCCTTTTAGCCAGAGGCTCTCCTTATGGCATTTTAATCTAAACAAGAACTTGATAATTTTCTTCCACAGTTATTCGAAATTTTGCAAGCAGAAGGAAAAATAATTTCACACGCTATGTCATGTATATCTTTTAAGGGAATTGATTTTCTCATTTTACATGAGAAAATTTTCTCATGCTACACTCACAATATATGAGTGGGGTCCACAAAAAGGTGAGAAGATAAAAAGGTCAAGATGGGACCCACTCATATATTGTGAGTGTAGCATGAGAAAATTTTCTAATGTAAAATGAGAAAACTATTTCCCATCTTTTAAATATTGTTAGCTTCCTAAGTTAACTGAAAGTGCTTAAGAATTAATGCTGTTTCTCCCGTTTTCAGTGTTTGTAGGCAAGAAATGCTGCAAGACGGATAGTTTTGGGTGAGTATTTATTTAGACATTTAATAGAAGAGAACATAGAGAATAATGAAATAAATTTATTTTAGTGGCGGTTACTTAAATATGAATGGGGGAAAGGGCCTTAATTGAATTTCCTTTCAGGAAATGCTGCCTCTTTTCCCGACCTTTTCCTCCTCTCTTTTCAGATTTTGACTGACCTCCCTACAGATCTTGGTGTTTCTAATTTAAATTTTGTGCTTTTAACCTCAATGAACTAGATTCTTTTCTCCCATATTTGTCCTTGTATCTGTTTCTTTTCATTTCTGCAAAAAATTATGATAAGAATATTTGGCAGTGATCTCACTTCAATAAATAGTTTTCCTGTACATGGATCTGATTCTAGTTTCATATGTTAGTTGTGATAGTTTCTTTGGCTGATTTGTGGAGTGTTTAGGCTAATTGATCCACTGCATGTGGTATTTAAAGTGTTTTAACTCAGGATCCGACTATCGATTGTTGAGTGGTTTGTAGGTTGGACCATGGGATCAGATTGAGGTTCGTAAGGTCATATAAATAATATGGAAGAGTTAAAAAACATATAGCAAATTAAGTACAATCCTGAAGACATAATCTTACAATGCATCATGAACTTGAGATGACATGCCTAATAAATAATCTTTTATGAGATTTTTAAATGAGCAAATTTTATGCATAAATAAACTCCAGCTTCGATAAGATTTAGTCATGGCTATGACAAAGGTTTTAAACATGCAAATAGAAATTAAATAAAAAACTGTAATCTCAAATCTATATGAAGAGTATGGAAAATAAAAAAGGGGATAAAACAAGTCAATTGTTCCAGTTCAAATTGTCCAAATGTCGCCATCTGAATAAGGGAATGTGATAAGACCCCTCTGAAGAGGTAATATATAAAGCGCCATAGAAGATTAGCTCCTGTGGATGACGCAGCATGTGGATAGAATATTCTAGAATACTCTCTGTCGAGTTGGCTGAGTTGGTTAGAAGAATTGGTTAAATAGTTGAAATGGCATGTGAGAGGTTAGATTGGAAATTGGGACTATCTTGGGTCTGGAAACCAGAGTGGGAGAGATCTCTGGAGTCTCTCCAACTGCTCTAGAAATATTTTACCTTTCAGATTATTTCTTGTATTTTTCTGTAAATTTTGTCACTGTTACTGTTACCAAATACTATTTTGTACTGTTTACACATTTCTATATCAAGATCAAACTTCCTTTAGTTCTGTTCAATCTCTACCTGTGTTGGTTGATACCTATCAGAATGAAACAACAAAAAGGAGGAAGACTCATGACAGGAAGGCTAAGATTGTAAATGCTCATTTTTTCTTGGATTTTAAGTATTGGGGACATGAAGTTTTTCATTTCGTTTGCTGAAACGTCATTAAAATTGAGTTACTCTTGCTGTGCCCTCCAATTTTGGGGATTAAAATAATTATTCAACTGTCCATAAAAAGTTTCAGCAAATAAAAATTTGGCAGTATCAGTAGGATCCTGTACTACTGTGAGATCCTAGCAGTCCTATAGTGAACATACAGTGATTCCACTTGATTCTGATTCTATGCCCAGTTTACATTGCTATTGCATGTTAAGATTGTAAAATCCTATAATTTGGATCAATATTTTTTATGACCTTAATTGTATATTATCCCTAATTTTATTCTTAAGCCTTTGTTTTAGAAATGGATGCTTGAGGCTGAATGGTGTAGGTATAACCTGAAATGCGTGTTATCTCTATTTTTTTTAAATATTATTGGAACCTTGTATTTTATCACATAACTGAGTTTTTTATGTTTGAATTCTTAATTTTAAACTTGCAAATATGCCAAATTAGTGGATATGGTTAAAAGAAATCTCTGAGTAGAGCTAGGGTAGGGGGTAGTGTGACTTGAACTGAGCCATTTTTAAGGAAATATTCAAGGGCCATAGCTTGAAAATACCCCTTTTTTTAGGTAAATAGTTTGATAATATCTTTGTTAATGCTGAATTTATCTCTTCTTAATTTGAAGTATATGATTTCAAATGTCTCATTTATTGACGGGATTACTTGGTAACTTGAAGATAAGGATATTATTTTGATTAAGGTGGGAAATTCATATTTATGAGCCCGGACATAAAGTTGGGAAATTCATATTTTGGTTGTTGGCGTGATACATTAAGATATGTTGAGCTAAATTTTATATGCGAATTTTCCCCCATCCCTTTTTTGGCATAACAAATAGTGCTAAAGCCCTCCCAATGAAATAGAAAAATAATGCTAAAGGCCTAAAAACATAGTGGGGCAAAGATGTCCCCATATTAACATTCAACACTAATAAAACTGAGAGAATCTTCATGAGGGTTCAGACTGGGATTTGGCAATGTGTATGCTATAACATTGCTTTGAACTGAACAACTATGGTGGTCCTTATGCTAGCACTGTGTCTTAATGGATGCTGAATTGATATTGCAGGGAAATCATGCATATGCCCTTCTGATGTTTTTCATGATATGTAATTCTGGTTGCAGAAGAGTTTTCATGTTTCTTTATAGATCTACTCGAGTGTTTCCGTGTCCTGTTTGGTTTGCTAGTGTAGGCTATGTAGCACCGATACGACACGCGACACGTGACACGACACGACACTCCGACACATCAATCCTAAAAAATTATGGATTTCGACACGTTGGGACACGTTTTAATATTAAATAATATTTTTAATTTATATAGTGTATATTTCATTTAATATTTAATAATTTAACAAAAAAAGAAACTAAATTAATAATACCCATCAACACGTTATAAAGATGGAAGCTTTAATAAAAAAAATAAAAACTGGGATGAGAGAGATATAATATCAGATAGAGAGATCAAATCATATTAGAGAGAGATCAAAGAGAAGAAGATACAACAAGAGCGTGATAGGAATCGACAACAATAATGTTGAGATGATCTCTTATCTACTTAAGGGAAAAAAAGACAAAAAGATAAAATTGATATTATCAGGTGGAAACTTTATTAATATATTTTAACTTTTTTAAAAAAATAAATTTTTAAAAAAAAAATAAAAAAATTACGAAAATGCCATTTGACCGTGTCGGACACGGTCAAATTCGCGTGTAAGAATGGTCAACGTGTCGGAAAAAGTCAACCGCGTGTCCAACACCGTGTCGGACCTGACTCTTCCTATTTTTACAAGTGTCTGTGCTTCTTGAGTGTAGGACTGTAGTGGTTTTACTGAGTTAAGTGCTTTGTACCAGTTTTGTTGGGGAAGAGAGAGGTATGATAAGCACTCTCGTAAGTGGTTAACAACTGAACACGTCGGCAGTATCAGTGATATTAATTGAATTATGAAAAATACTTTAAATTGTTTTGGTATGGATAATGGGGAAATAATGGTTTGGTAAATTCATACGAATAGTGATTCTAAATAGCTCAAATTACTCAGTTCTTGAAACTATGATTGAGTTTTGCTTTTTCTGTTCTTAAAAATTATTTTGTAGATTAGTTAATGAAATAAATGTTTTTTTGTGTTTTTTTATTTTATTTTGAAAGTTAAGAGTCAAAGCATAAAATAAAAACAAATATGTTTTTTAAATTTGATTCTAAAAACTATAATGTAGATATAATTTTTAGAATAATTTTTAAAATAGGTCTTATGAATTATGTTTTTTTGTTTTTTTATTCTGAGAATTGAAAAATTATTTTTAAAAATAGAATTCAAACATAGCCTGGAAGGATGGTTGTGTTGCAGCTGCTGTGGTTATATGCCCTTGATGTCTTAAAATCATCGTCTGTGTACTTGTTTGCCGTTCTCTTCCCTTGAAAGTGGTTCCGTTCTGTACTGGTTGGGCTGACCACTTGATCTTTCACAAACTGGCAGCGTATTAAGTTTCTTAATTTAGATTACCCATGTATGTTGCTGTTGATTGCAGTTATTTAGGATTAGGCGTGTAAAATGTATGAAGATTAGATGAGGTCCCAAAGTGAACTAATTTTCTAAACTGGTGAAGCTGTGCATGATCAATACAATCATAGCCGTAGTTTGCGTGTACATATTAATGTGAACATAGATTAGTAGTCTATGTTGGAATAGTGGATATAGTCCTTTACTTACCTTGAATTGCAAGATGTTTTTCTATCTTGTTGCTGCATGAACTCTGCATAACGGATTACTAATATTGAATAGAGTAAATACCATTTTTAGTCCCTGGCAATATCTACGAAGTTCTTTTCAGTCCCTGCCAATAAAAAAGGACCAAATTGGTCCCTGAAAGTACAAGAAAAGGGTCACTCTACATATTTGGGAGTTGACATAAGAACTAACATGGCCATTTTTTTGTAATTTCAGGGACCAATTTGACCCTTTTTTTATTGCCAGGAACTAAAAAGGACTTCGTAGATATTGACATGTACTAAAAAAAGTGTTTACTCTATTGAATATAATAATTTGATACTTTAAGACAAATTCTGCCTGAACACCGCGAAGTTTGTTTTTCAATTTATTTGGTGGTTGTTATTGTATTCAGTATTACTGTTTTACTGTTACTGGCAAAGTAAAATACTTCCGAAAAAATGTTTAGTTTTGCTGAATTGTCTCTGAATTCTAAGTAGTACCAAAGCTTTTAGGAGCACTTGGAACTGTTATTTAAGCTTAAATTCGATTGTAGACGTGGAGCTCTTTTTCGGTACAAGAGGGGTACCTACTTTGCTATAAAGGAAAACATGAGATATGGGTGAAAATAATCATAAAGGTGGGATAGTGTAAATGTTATTTTTTGTCATATTTAATAAATTGTATGAGTATTCAATACAACGGAGCACCACCTAAAATATATTTGTAGGCATGATTCTCATTGTCAGAAGTTACATTTGGCTTGCCTTAACATGTGGCGAGGATGAGGAATTGCCAGACATTTAAAATTCGCCCGAAGTTTGATGTCTGTTACCGCAGTAACACGGTATTTTGTTCCATATGGAGGGGGAATGGATTTAAATTGTTTGGAGGTTGAGGACAGTCTTTATCCCTAGAGTTCATTTCATGTTCCTGGAGTGAATGCACTCTTATGTTCCTTTTTTATGAGATTTCTCGACAACTAATAGTGGACGAGTTTCACCCATCACTAACCTTCACATTCCAAGGAAGAGGTGTCACGATGTTCCGAGAATCAAATAGAACCGAGTTCAATTTTGTCATTGGAAATTTATGTATTTTAGTTAGCCCATTAACTACTCATCCTCTAAAACTGATTTCATTCACCAAATTTATTAAATTTATAGTGTAATAAATAATTTGTATTAACTTAATTATATATAAATGGGACAAGATATATTTACCATCAATTAAATTTATCACTTCTTACCACCAAATTTTAACCATTAATTTTTGTCAATCTGATGGTTATAATTTATTGAGAATTAATAATTAATTAATAAGTATCATCCAATAATTTATAACCGTCAGATTAACAAAAATTAACTGTTAAAATTTGATGGTAAGAAGAGATAAATTTAATTGGTGATAAATGAATCCCTCCCTTATATAAATTAGATGATAATAAATTAATGAACCCAATTACCGCAGTTACTTAAAAGCTACTCTTGGTAAAGCGAAGCACAAGCAGGTAATTAAATATGTGAAAAGTGAAAAGCTACTCTTGGCAAAAATTTCTTCGTAGTATAACTAGAGTGTACAGAATGTGAAAAGTGAAATCCGTCGTATCATTGTCACCTAACGCTTGTCCATTGAGAATTAAAGGGAAAAGAATCTGAGTTGCCGACAAACCGCAACCATAAATGATTAAATATGCATCTTTTCTACTTTGCCATAAATTATTAACTATATTTATATAAGCGGGATCTAGAACTTTATCATTCGGTGAATTAAGCCCAACTAAATAGTAAAAAAAGAAAGAAAACAAGTAGTTTAATATAGTTTACATAAAACTCATAACATAATCAAAGGAGTGTGAAAACATTGTTTCCTATTTGAAATATATGTTGTCGTGTAATTGAAGCTCCGATTTCGTAAGCTATGCAGTTATGCACTGGCCTTTTTCCATCAAGGTGGCCAATCATTCCTGGCATAACACTGCAATAGCTGCATTAGTTAGCCTTTTAATAAAGCACACTGGACAATTAGTCAAGCTGAGTCTGTCAAGTTTCAGAAATTGAATACGGTCTTTCTAGTATTCTTTTTTTATCATAGTAAGTGAACAAAACAATGATGACTTATTTTGATTTCGTAAGTTTAAAATTTACTTCTATACTTCGTCTTTGGATGCCTAGTGTTTCTTTATTTATCAGCTAAAATTACTTACTGGTGGGAGGTTGTGTGGCAAAGTTATGTACAAGGGTGCGTTTCTTTGAAAAATCAGATAGTTATCCGCTTTATAACTCAAATTAATAATTGATATAATATAAGATTAACGTGAGTAATACGCACGTATCCTTATTAAAAATTTGTTCATATATTTCTCCTCAAAGTATATATAATACATTAATTATACCCAAGAGATTGATTGCAATAAAAACAAATCGTAATTTCTTCAACTCAAAATTACGTCAACATTTGCTAAAATAATAATAAAAATGATAAAATATGTTTACAAGTAAACCAAAAAAGGAAAAGAAAAAGATATTAGGTTGATGGATTATGTGTAACTAAGAATTATTGAGGTTTCTTGTCGTTTAGAAAAGATTGACAATGAAGCCTCCTCAGGAAGACCGCTTCGTACTTAGTCGACCAATTCTAGGTTTCTGGCGTGTTGGGTGCTCCAGTTTGACCAAAGTGGTATCTATATATGGTGGACCCCTTTTAAATTTGTATTTATAAGGTTTATGGTGGGGGGAGGAAAATTGTACCTAGCTTGAAAATGACTTCCTTTTTTTCACTTAATATATACATATTTCATTTAAAACTAAGAACTTTAATTGCATAAGGTATTATCAATTAAAAGATATTTTCAAACTAACTATAGAACTCACAACGCCTAACATGATCTATAAGATACTTTAAGAACCTTAGCAAAACAAACGTGAAATATACTTGTTGAAATATATAAAATCATTAATGTAGCCTTACCCAACAGCTTAAGCTTTTGGGTTGAATTGGTTCTTTACATGATATCAAAGTTTCGTATTTCGGGTTCGACCGCCCCCACTTTCTTTTAAGTGGAATTTCTTTCTTAGCATAAGTAGGTGGACCTGTGCATTGTTCACCCTTCAAGCCCAGTGGGCTCTCATGTGAGGGGGCGTGTTGAAATATATAAAATCATTAATGTAGCCCCACCCAACAGCTTAAGCTTCTGGGTTAAATTGGTTCTTTACATGGGATCAAGCAACCAATGTGGAACTATATATCTAAACACGTCCCCTCACACAAGAGCTCATTGGGCTTGAAGAGTGGATGATGCAACAGGTCCAGCCTACATGTGCTAACTAAAAAGGTGAGAGTGTCCAAGGCCTTATAAACTCCACATTAGTTGCTCATACAACTAATGTGAGATTATATATCTCAACAATAACCAAAGTCAAAAATAGAAATCCAAAATGTATAAAGTAAGAGTGAGGATATTCTAACTACCAAAAATTCTCACTACTAACTTACTACCCATCACATCACCATTCGATCAAAGAGAGAGAATGTTAAAAAGTGTTTGAAGAGAGAGAAAATGTTAATCTAACGGTGATTAGATAGGTAGTACGTTGGTAGTGGAAAATTTTGGTAGTGAGAATATCCCTCCTCGTAAAGTAATACATATCTAAAAATAGATTTATTAGTTCAATTCCCATGTAATGCAAAAAAAAATAGATTTATTATAAATAAGGCTTGGGTTTCTAATTCTTTTCAAAGAATTCAATTACTTTTTAAATAGATACATTTTCGTATTTTTATCATATAAATATAAAATGGAAGTATGTATTTTAAATATTTTATTTCTTATTGTATTATTGATAATTGATTAACATTTTAAGGTCGGACTTGTTTATTGAAATAATGTTCGAATGCCCGACCAAGTGTAAAGATTGTACGAGGACTTTTGACTATGTCATAACTGAATTTTATAAACAGATTAAAATATATAATTGGATTACTTTACATCATAAAAAATGCAAACTATTGGATCAAGTAATTACTATTAGATCAAAAGCTATACTTACTGCGCCTTGTCAAGGCTGGATGTTGACCTTTCCAACAATTCTTGACTCCGACTCCACATTGGATCTTGCCAAGAAAAATTTCTTAGGTGCAGCGGGAGTATCTAAGTGGGTACTTCTTTTTTCTAAAAGTGGGAAAAAAATTTCATTTAAATCCAGCTTTTAATTTGTATTTTCATTTAAGTCCCCAAAAAATTTCTTTTTTGAGTAGGATGTAGGTACATTTGCTTGTTCTTTACCAAGGGAGGATGTTGGGCCCTCCAATAATTTTCCCCACACTTGCTCTTGTAAAGTGTCATCCTGGGAAATTGAGTCCATGATCTCGGCTCTGATACCAAGTGTTTGATCGAGCTTTTTCCATTAGGTCAAAAGCATTAGCTATTAGTTACAACGCAACTCTTTCTATTTACCCTAATCAGCCAAAGTATCATAGTTTGATTTGATTCTGACGCTACATTACGCCTTGCCAAGATAGAATGTTGGCCTCTCCTATGATCCATAACTTTGACCCCACTCTGACCTTTGCTAAGGCATGATATTGACACCTCCAACAAAAGCAAACCATAAAACCCTTTTTTATTTTTTTAGCCTTTGCTTAGGGTATTTGTTAAGCATTTATTTGGTATGAATCCCTTAAAAATTGTTATGACTAAGAAGTTCTTTTTAAAGTTGAACTTTTTTATTTTAGAGTTCAGTATTTCTCCTGTCATAGAAAATAAAATTATTTCTTGCAATTTTAAAATGATATTATTTTAGAGTTTAAGAAAAAATAAAGAATATTTTAAAAAATTTATATTTTAGAGTACACGCACACGCACTCACACAAATGCGCATATGTATTTATGCAACACACGCACACGCTCGCACACAAACACTTATACACATGCATACACACACGAAGAAAAGCTAAGAGTGAATAGAGTTTAAGTTAATATACAGAGATGAATAAGTTCTTGAAAGTCACTCATTGTATGAACAAACATTGATATATAGTATATAAATACGTGTCGGCATAAATATACAATTGAACCTATTGATTGTACCAATTAGCATTAATAGAGATGATATTTTTTTTTCCCAAAAACTTTTGTAGTGAAAAATATTTGTAATAAACAAAACCATTTTCTTTCGTACATGAACAAAAACATTTTATATTTCAGAAGTATTTCTATTTAATAAAGTACAAATTTTAGTCTATTTTTTTAATTCCTAAATAATTGCCTGAGCGGATAATTAATTAACAAAAATGATTGAAACACCTTAATTTTTTTTACTTCCCAGAAAGTGTGCGAGTGAGGAAAAAACACACTAAAAAGTCTCGTGTTAGTATGTCGGGATAGTCAATGATTCTTGAAGCGGTCGGCGTTACAAGTGGTATCAGAGCAGACCTTCTCTTCCAGTACAGTGTGGTTCGAGGACGAACCAGGAGGAAGTTGGTGGGCATGTAACATCCCAAGAGCTGCGAAAGGGCAGGGACAATGAGCGGCTCATACCAAATCTTGCAGCTTGGGAATTCATGAATGAATCGTATCAACACCCGAAAGAGAGGGATTCCAGAGACTGTGCTGGTATAGGACGGTACAGTTAGGAATGACTTATAAGAATTAATTAGTACTACCTATACTAACAAGATGCATCTACTTTTCGGTAGCCCGGATCGGAAGAACTCCACAGTTAAGCGTGCTTGACTTGGAGCAATTATGGGATGGGTGAGCAATTATGGGATGGGTGACCTCCTGAGAAGTTTTCCCGGGAAGTGTGCGAGTGAAGACAAAGCACACTGAAAAGTCTCGTGTTAATGTGTAGGGACAGTCATTGATCCTTGCAAGTGGCCAGGCGTTACAAGTGGTATTAATACGTTTATTATTTATATTTTATAAAATCTAAACATTTACTATATACTAATAATGAATAAAGACTTAACAGAAGAAAAGGACGTCAAACTGAACTTGGGATTTCCGTCATATGCTGCTAATGAAATAGTCATAACAAAAAAACTTATGATTAGTTGTCAATTTGTGGATTCGCTTTCCATTTCCCTTTCATTCCTTTAATTCATTTATATCAACATATCTTTCTAAGAAGGTAGCAACTGAGAAGCTTCTCTTCATAAATGTTCACATACCAACCGCGTCGAAGACTTGGTTCCCTCTTCATCCCACGGTCCACTAGCTATGCTATAGGGATACATTTCATTTTTAATCCTTCTCTATAATATTAATATTAATATATATATATATGGATAGAATTCTTTAATATCAAATCTTAATCATTGATTTTGAGAATCTAGCATTATAATATATTGAGTCACACATATTAATTAATTAATATTAATTTCTAATAAATTATAATCGTTAGATTGGTAGAAATCAACAGTTAAAATTTAGTGTCAAACTGAATAAAAGTTTGACACAAAATCTTAACCGTTAATTTTATGAATGTAATGGTTATAATTTATTGAATCACACTTATTAATTAATTATTAGTTCTCAATAAATTATAGCTGTCATATTGACTGAAATTAACTGTTAAGATTTGATGTCAAATTTTTTAGTTTAACACCAGTGTTAAAATATTATGTCTTTTTACCAAAAATATATATATATATATATATTATGTATATATATATATATATATATATATATATATATATATATATATATATATATAACTCACCTAATTGCATTCATACCTATTTTTCTTTTAGCAAACTTCTTATTCTTTTAGCAACTTATTCATTTCTGATTTCAAGTATTTCCATGTATTATAATTTAAGTGAGCATGTGATTATTAATTAGAAGAGGACTAAAGATTTATGTGCCCACTAAACTCTTCGCTCCTAAGAAACCTATTTACAATAAAAAAAACACCCCAAAAAAAGTAAATATTAAAACTGAAAAATCTTTTGCAAAGGACATATTAGCCAATTGCAAAATGAAACTCATTCTCAAATTACCATATAAAAGCTCCACTCTGTTTGTTTCTCTCTCTCTCATAGAAAACAGCTTACAAGCTTGAACCTGTTTGTTTGTTCCATATGTTCGTATCTGCCATTGCTATTGATATTGTCATTGCCATTACTTAGGTGTGTTTTTCTGATCATATATTTTCTAATAGCAGGGTACATTCATAGCTAAGGTACGTGCATATGGGTAAGAAACTAGATGCTCTGCTTGGTAGAACCTTCAAGGCTGCAAAGTTCAAGCCAATCGTTAACCTTGCATTCTCACGCCTCACTGTTCTCAAGAACCAGCGCAACGCTCGCCTTAGACAAGCCCGTTCTGATGTCCTTGAACTCCTTCAACTTGGTCACCATGAACGAGCTTTGCTTCGTGTAAGATATATAGATAGATAGATAGCTATGTTGTGTTTTCTCTCAGAGCCCAAATTTTCATCTTTAAGTCTAACTTTTCTTGGTTTTGATAAACTGGGTGGTTTTTAATAGGTTGAGCATGTGATCAAGGAAAGAAATATGTTGGATGTGTATGATAAGATTGAAGGATATTGCAGCCTCTTGATTGAAAGAGTTCACCTCATTGAACAAGAAAGGTTGGTTTGCTTATACTTTTGTTTCTGATTCATTTAGTGAAATATATTGTTTTCGTTTTTGTGAATTGATTTGGTTTTTGTTGTTGTTGTTATAGAGAATGTCCAGAGGAACTAAAGGAGGCAGCATCAGGATTACTCTTTGCAGCTTCTAGGTGTGGAGATTTTCCAGAGATTCAAGAGATTCGTGCAGTTTTGACCTCTCGATTTGGCAAGGAGTTTGCTGCTCGTGCCGTTGACTTAAGGAACAACTGTGGAGTCCATCCTCAGGTGGATATCTGATATGAGAATCATTAATCTTTGTTAAGTCCAATGTTGCTGCCTTCCCACTCTTTATTTTTGTTTTGCCTGTTGAAGAGACTTGTGAGAAACTAGGATTAATATATGGGGAAGGTTATATTTACAAACTTTTTGTTTACAAACTACACTAAGTATGACCGGTCATACTTCAATCAAGAGTATATGACCGGTCATATTTAGTGTAATTTGTAAAAAAAAATTATAAACGGATTCTTCTCCTTAATATATAAGCTAGAATTTGTGCCAAAAGCAGATAACTTTTTTATGCTAATTTTGAGTAATTTGTCTGCGGTGCTTATCATACTCTAATACATTCTTTTTATCTGGCTGTTCATAGATGATACAAAAGCTGTCAACAAGGATGCCTAGCTTGGAAAGCAGAATGAAGGCACTCAAAGAAATTGCTTCTGAGAATGGTATTGTTCTGCAGCTTGAAGAAGCTTCTTCTGTATCGGTTGAGGTATAAAACCAAAGGCAGCAAAAATTGCAATTTATTGTTGGGGCAGGTTCTTTTTATACCAGGGTAAGACTAACAAGTCTTACACCACATCTCAATCGTTGATAGACGGATATCATCGGTTGGTATTTGTAGTGTAATTAACGATTAATTAATATTAATTAATTGATATGACTTCCTAGATTATAACTGTTGGATGTACGGAAATCAATGGTTGAGATGTGGTGTAAGACTTATTAGTCTTACACCAGTGTAAAATGATCCTGATCCTTTATTGTTTATGGCATTTGCAAATCAAGTACTTATGGCATCTGATGTGAACTATACAGGAACAATCCAATGCGGAAAATGAAAACCAGCATGAAACTGAGATAAAGAAAGAGAAAATCTGGATTTTACCAAATAGAGGAAAAGATGAGGAATTAACTGATTCCTTTAAGGCCGGGCAAAAGTACAAGGACGTAGCTGATGCAGCACAAGCAGCTTTTGAATCAGCAGCATATGCAGCAGCTGCTGCAAGGGCAGCTGTGGAACTCTCACGATTTCAACCACATGATCCTGATGATCATAATAGTCCAAGCCTCCAACCAAGAAAAGTGCTGGATGGACATGATTCTGTGAAATCTCAACTGGAAGACAAGGATATTCTCGGTGACACTCAAGGAAAAGAATTTAAGGAGGATATAGACGAGTTAAAGAAGCCAAAAGACAAATTAAGTCGCAATTCAGCAGATGAGATTTTAAAGGGGGGTACTGCCTCAGTGGATGCTGAAATTGAGGCTGATCCTTTTGAGAAGGAACTAGTTTTTGATGAAAGTGATGATGAGATTGATAATAAACAGAATAAAAATCAATCTTCTAAGAAGATATCTTCAAGGTATGGTGCTAGTATAGAGGTTGGATCCGGGTCTAGGCAGCTAGTATTAAATACAGTGTCTGGATCCAATATGCAGATTGCATCTCAGTTAGGTCTGGACAAGAGGCCAATTTCAGTGAGGACTAGATGAGTGAAAAATTACTGAGTATAAGTGCATCTAGCATGCAACGTTGCGTAATCAGATTTTAGTGTTGCTAGTCGCTTAGCGAAGTGTGTAATTGCTTGGTTCATTAATTTTTGTATTATAGATTTACCATCCAAATTTCACTATATATTTCCTGTATTGAACAGATTAATTTAGTTGGATTTAAAAATAAATAGAATCATTCATTCCAACATTGATTTATAGCTATTAAAAGGGCAATCTATGCTTTAAAACTCCGCAATGTGCAAGATCAGGAGAGGGTATAATAGGCAGCCTCATCTTAGGTTTGCAAAAGATTGATTACATGAGTCAAGCCTGTAAAAGCTCCCCTTCAAAATAGGCACATACTGGACATGGACATAAGAAATAGGTACGGGTTGATTTCTGACCATACACAGAAATATATGACTGCAAAAGAAACCTGAAAATCGTAAGAGATTTCTAAGTGAAGTTGCTAATTGATCTTCAGATGGGATATGTTACGTTAAAATTAGATTAACCAATTGTTAACCATTCCATGTTATTTCCTAGCTTAGCATTGTCAATTTAAACCAGAATATTGGCATACCTGGCAAAGCATTAATAAGATTCTTAAGTGGGACATGTGGGGTTCCCACCATGGAAAATGAAATATTAGAGCTTACTAGTTGCTGCTTAGATTAGTTTTGTTTCCTGGAACGGGTTCAATGTCAATAGTCATTGATCAGTGGATTTGACTTTCAAAAATTAAGTAGGATACTGCTTTATATCCTTGAAACATGAAAACTAGGATAGCATGCTATGCAATGTGACAATGTCAACGCCCAGAGATATAAACAATAATATTGCAATGAGACAATGCTACAGTGAGTTAGGCTTGTAATTTTAGGGTGAAGAAGCCCATAACTGAGTCTGAATTGTCAACACTTTACAAGGGCCATGTAATTTGCAATCATTCAGAAAACCAAACTTATCTATACTCCTAATATGCTGATTAGGAAGGAAAAACTTCTGATTTCAGATAAATATATCACTGTCCCCGAGGCCGCTTCTTACCATGCTGGAGCAGGTCACTGTATGATTGCAAACTCACCCCAACATCTTCATCATATTCTATTCCAAGCTCCTCCTGCAAAGTGCAAAAGAGTTATCAGTATGATATCAGAAACTTCAAAAAGAAAAAAACTATGGTTGTGACAGGACAAAGACACCTTAAATTCTTTGGGATCTTTAGGCGAGTTCTCAGTGAGGGTATCCCATAAATCCTTGAACATTCTTTTACGCTTTCTCCACTGACTTATTTTCTCCGAAAACATATCCTCAACTGCCTTGCGTTCTTCTGGCCTCACCAGAGTAACACCTCCACGTAACTTGGTCAGTCTGTTCTCCATTTCTTGAACCTGAAGCAGAACATAATTACATAAAGATGCAAACTATCTTAGTTGAAACAGCATAACCACTTATCCCCTTTCAATAAAGAAAAAAGCACACAAACATCAATGTCAGTTACCTCCATTCTTAGATTCACTTCTCTTTCACAGATCTGTTCCAGTGTCAAATTTGATTGCAACGATTTAATTTCTGCACCAACAAGTTATATTCATAAATTGCAAGATCAAGGGTTTTGTCTGAAAACCTCAAATGCTTAAAATTTACGAAAACTAGTAAAAAGGGCAACTAGTGCTATAAAACTCCGGCTATGCGCAGGTCCACAAAATGATTTTAGTAGGCAGCTTTACTTTACATTTACAAGAGGCTAATTACATGAATATTAAAACTAGTATTGGATCATGGAGGCTCTGATAACATGTAAACAACTATTTCACCTAAAAGCTCAAGCTGCCCATCAATGATTTTATATTACATCTCTCTAACAATTAGAATTAGAATTAGATTTGTTGTTCTACAAGCTATTAGGAGTGGAATAGTGGTGAAGGGTCTGAATAGTTTGTACAAGGTTATAGGTTGGAACTTTAGTGCCACTATTGTATAAAATAAAATAAAAAAGGATTTATCGTTCTACATCATCATATGACTTCAGTTCCGTGTACCTGCTTCAACCTCACTAACATTTTTTTTCTGGTCATCGAGCCCTTTCTGCAGGTTGGCATTCTGTTCCTTCATCTGATTAAGCTCTTCATTGTTCGGAATTTCGAATTGATCTTGCCGCGCAAGGTATATCTTCTGCTTACCATACTCTTTGAATGAAATACGCTTTCCATCAGCAAGATTGTCCAATGCTTTCTGTATCGCTGCCTTCTTCAGGTTGAACTTTTGCAATGCATCCGCCACATTTTGCGCATTCAATGGCCTATTTTGCTGAGACAAAGGGGGAAAATCTAAATAAATAATTCAACGAATTTACGATAGACCCAAAGTTCCAAATAAACAGAAACTACCATTTAGCTCAGAAAATTAATACTATTTTTCCGTTCTTTTAAAAAAAATAGAACAGAACCTGAAGTTAGCATAATAATCAAAATTAAAAACAAAGTGAGCAGAGATTCATAAACGCTAGTCCTATTCTAAGCGAAGATTGCTTCAAGGTGAACACGAAGGTCAAATATCCAAACTAGTTCAAAAAAGGGTCGCAGAAAATAAATAAATAAATAAATAAAAGGGGAAAAGGCTTGTGAGGCACAAACGCAAACGACAAGTAAGCGTTACCGAAGCATGTGATTATGAAAGTGGTTACCTCATTGACGAAGTTCAACACGATCGCTGCGAATTAAAGAGAGGAGATGTTCAGTTCACGAAATAAAAAGGTGAGAATGAAGTGTTGGCAGAAATCAACGGAGTTTCTGGGAAGTAGTTAGTTCAGCTGAATCCATCAAAACAAAGCGAGAGAGAGAGGGATGACGATGATACCTTCGGCGCTATCGGATTTTGGAGCCATTGTTTGGATCGCTAGAAAATGCGCGGGAAAATTCCGTAGCTCCTTTCTCTTTCCTTTCCACCAACGCGAGCGAGGATTGCCTGAGAAGCAAATTGTGATTGTACGACGTCGTTTTTAACCAATGAAAATGCTACTCACAAAGAGAGAGAATGCTATAAGCCTATAAGTCTTGACAATTAAAATTTAAATAATTTAAGGGTCTGTGAAAAAGTTATCTCCAATTACGTTCGGAGAAAAAAATTATACTTAAAAAAGTTAATATAATTTGAAACTAAATTAAAATTATTAAAATATTCTTTTCTAAGCTCAAAATAATATTGCTTTGAATTCACCAGAGAATCAAGATTATTTATCTACCGTGACTAGAAAAATATCAAACCCATAATAATTTAACCGAAAAATTATTTCTGCAGTGACTAAAGAAAATTTATCTGCATTTACTCTCAAAACGATGTCGTTTTGAAATTGAAATATTAAAAAATTATAATTATAAAGACTATAATAACCCTAAAATAAATTAAAATTACAAAAATACCATGATTTCTACCCCAAAACGACGTCGTATTGAGCTTACTGCAGATAACTTATCTGCAGTAATTGCAGAAGAAGTGAAACCATAATTTAAATATACAATTATTTTTATTTTTATTTTCATTCCATGTTGTTTGTTGTTATATCAAAATAATGCAAAATACTTACCAAAAAATAAAAATAAAAACAAATTAAAAAAATATGACGTATAAAGAAAGACATAAATACATTTTAACAATAATGGTAAGAAGCCTTTCCGTTTTGTTGCTGCTTGGAAAGAGCACCACCTATTTAAAGATTTCCTGCAGGCTAAGTGGGATCATAGATTTGATTTATCGTATATGCTCTAAAGGTTGGTTCCGAATATTAGGGATTGGAATAAGCGAATCTTTGGCAATATTGATAGAAGGAAAATTTCCATTATGAAGAGAATTGCCAATATTCAGCATAACAGGGAACAAAACGACACTTCTTTTTTGAAGAATTTGGAAGATAAATGCCAAAGTATGTTGTCAGAAGTGCTTCATGAGGAGGAACTTTTTTGGTTTCAGAAGTCTAGGCAAAAATAGATAATGGATGGGGATAGAAACACAAGATTCTACCATTTAAGTACTGTGGTCAGGAGAAACTCAAACAAAATCTTTAGACTCAAGAATGATAGTGAAGTGTGGGTGTCAGATCCTCTTGAGCTTAAAACTATGGTGTGTAACTTTTTCAAAGTTTTATTTTCTGAAGATGTCTGTGAGAGAAGATGGATTTCGTCATGGAATCTCTGGCCACCTATTTCCTCTGGTGATCAAACTTATCTAAGCAAGATTCCAAATGAGGTGGAAATTATGCAAGCAATGTTCAACATGGGAGGCTTCAAAGCTCCAGGTACTGATGGTTTTCCTGCAATTTTTTATCAGAAAAATTGGGAGATGGTTAAAACTCAACTCTGTTCACTAGTCCATCATATTTGGAATTATCCTGAGTTTCTGGCATCTATAAACTCTACTCTTCTTGTTTTGATCCCCAAAATCCAGATGCCTGTTCATATCAGCCAATTCCGACCGATTTCACTTTGCCCTGTGATTTACAAAGTTATCAACAAATTGATTGTTAGCCGTTTAAAACCTATTATGGCAAAAGTTATTTCTCCTGCTCAAACTAGTTTCGTTCCTCAACGGCACATCCAGGATAACATTATTATTGTTCAGGAATTAGTCCATTCCATGAGGAAGATGAGAAGGAAGAGGTGTTTTATGGTGGACCTTGAGAAGGCTTATGATCGGTTCAACTGGAATTTCATTCGACTAGTTTTGGAAGAAGTTCAGGTTCCTGACTGTTTATCTAAGCTCATAATGGAGGTTGTGACCTCTCCTAAAACCAGTTTGGTTTGGAATGGATGTTTGTCAGATGAATTCTAGCCTAGTAGAGGCATCAGACAGGGAGACCCCTTGTCTCCTTATCTCTTTGTCCTTGCTATGGAGAAATTGTCTCATATTATAGACACTGCTGTCAACGGTGGATTGTGGAAACCGATAAGAGCTGGGAAAAGTGGTCCAAAAATTTCTCACTTATTATTTGCGGATGATCTTATGTTATTTTTGGAGGCTAGTGAGGACCAATTGCATATCCTTCTCTGCTGTCTGAATCTGTTTAGCGAAATTTCTGGTCAGAAGGTTAGTGATCAAAAAACCAGTGTTTTTTTTCTAAAAACACTCCTGATGATGTAGCTAATAAAATCACAGCAGGAAGTGGATTTAAGCGAGTTTCAAATATTGGTAAGTATCTTGGAGCAATGATCAACCATGGGAGGGTAACTAAAAACCTGTTTGCTGGTATTGTTGATAGAGTGAAGGAGAGATTGAATAGTTGGCAAGCTCAGTCTCTTTCTCAAGTCGGCAGAGTGATCTTGGCACAATCAGTTTTGTCCACTATTCCATATTATAATATGCAAAGCAGCATGCTTCCCAAATCGATTTGCAATGAGCTGGAACACCTTCAGAGGTCTTTTATTTGGGGTGACTCAATGAATAAAAAGCACATGCATCTTATCAGTTGGGATACTATTACTAAACCAAAATGTTTAGGTGGTTTGGGGTTTAGAAGAATGTCTACCATGAATGAAGCTTTTTTGGGAAAATTAATTTGGAGTTTCCTTAATGATCCTGATCAGCTTTGGGTTAAAGTATTGAAGGCTAAGTATATCCATTCAGTTAATGTTCATGAGGGATTTATTTCGAAGATTGGACACTCTCGATTGTGGAAATTCATGTGTGCTATATGGCATAAGCTGAAACCAAGACTGATTTGGGATGTTGGGGATGGGTCTCTTATTGATTTTTGGGACGACAATTGGTTAGATCATGCAGGTAATTTAGCTAGTAAAGCTATTGCTCCTATTCCCCAGGCAAGTTTTGGAAGAAAAGTTGTGGAATTTGTGGCAGAGGATGGAGCTTGGGATTGTAGCGAATTGTCCAATTGCCTTCCACGGGAAACTATTCAGGTAATTAGAGGTCACCTTCCACCTCATATTTCTAATGGCCTGATAGATTATTGTGGGATCTTCCTAGTTCAAGTGGGGTAACAGTCAAGCAGTTGTATAATGTTTTGGCTAATCTTTCAGAGGAAATCCCTCAAGTGAACAATGTGTGGTCTCAGATTTGGCAGGTTAAAGGACCAAACAGAATTAGTCTCTTTATGTGGAAGACAACACATAACCGTCTACCAACCAAGAAGATGCTGTCGATGTTAAATATGTCTGCTGCTACCTGTCTGTTGTGTAACGGGGATGAGGAGTCCACATTGCACATGGCCAGAGATTGTAGTCGAATCAGAAATGTTTGGTTAGACCTTTTACATCCTGATATGGTAAGTGAATTCTTTACTGTTGATCTTGATAATTGGCTTTCGTTAAATTTGAGAGTTGATTCGATGAGAATTTTCAATGTTTCCTGGTCTTTGGTATTTACTGTGAGTGTGTGGCATGCCTGGTTGTGGAGAAATAATATTGTTTATGGTGGTGCTTTTGATCGGTACTCTTATAAAACCGATACTATAGCTCAGCGAATTAAGGAGTACAATCAAGCTTGGTTAAGCTGTTATGGTGTTAAGACTAGAAGGTCTCATGAATTTATTTCTGTTTGTTGGACTCCCCCGGAGTCTGGATGGATAAAAATTAATACTGATGGGGCAGCTAGGGGTGCTGGTCGAGGGGCTGCTTGTGGTGCGGTCATCAGGGATGAAACAGGTCGTTGGCTCCAGGGTTTGGCTTATGACATAGGTCATTGTTCAGCTTTAGTTGCTGAATTATGGGGTGTCCTTAAAAGTCTTGAAGCAGCTTGGGCTGGTGGTTGGAGGCGTTGCTTATTAGAAAGTGATTCTAGCTCAGTTATCACTCTACTCACCAAGAATGGTAGAGTAGCTTGAGAGTCTCGTTTGGTGACTCGCATTCGAGCGTGGTTGCAAAAGGATTGGGAGGTTCATTTGCTACATGCTTACCGCGAATGCAATAGTTGCGCTGACTGGCTATCCAAGTTCCCATTGGACCATCATATGGAGAGTAATTTATATATTTTTTCCTTCTCCTCCCCCTGCTATTTTGCCTTTGTATTTGACAGACTTTTCTTTGGTTTGTAATTCTCGTAGGGCTGTTTTGACTTGATTGTTTTCGGGGTTTTTCCCCTCTATGTTACCAAAAAAATAAATGCATTTTAACATATTTAAATTTAATGTTAATTAATTCTGAATTTTTTTTTCAAAAATCTGTTTTTTAGTCAACTGAAGTCCAATGAAATAAATTAATTTTTTTTTTTTTACAATTATTGTTGTTTTTTTATGCCAAATGATGATAGTTTAGTTGACGCATCACGCATGAGAGGTGAGCAGGTGGGGGTAGGAGCATATATTCGATCCTCTTAAATATCATATTTGGAAAAAATTTAAAGTCTTAATTTTATACCCGCTCCAAACATAATTGCCTCCCGTACAAAATATTATTGTTTTAATTAAGAATTTAGATAATATATAATTAATATAATGATGATTGAATAATATAAAGACTCGCTAATAATTTTTGAAAAAAAGTTTTAAACTCTACTTTTTATCATTATTTAAACTCTATTTCACTTAGATAATAGATTGGTATATCTTTATAGAATAATAAGTAAAAAAGTTTAAATAAAGAAATTATGTAAGCGTTTAAAGATTTAATTTGAATAACTAATTCTATAATCAAGTGAGATAAAAATAATTAAATAAGTCATTAACTAAAAGATATAAGAAAAAGATACATACAATTTTAAATATAAAAAAGAACAAAACAAATTTTTTTTGTTTTTCTTTACGCATAGACGCATAGTGAGAATTATGATAATGGCATTTGCTTTCACCCAATCTAATGGTCACACACACACACACACACACTGAGGTCCGAACGGTGAACTGAACCACTCAATGCCCAAGCTTCACTGAAGCTATGACGACGACCACAACGACGTCGTTCCCAACATCTCTGTGCTCGTTCCTTTCACCCAAACCCTTGGCCTCAAAATCTTCACTCTATGTAAATCCAGTTCACAACTCCTTAAGCTCCACCCGTTGGTTCTCTGCAGAGAAACACGCCAATTCGAGGAACCATTTGTGGTGCGAGGCTCGCCGAAAACCCACGGCGTTAGCAACCTCCTCCTCGGCGGAAGAGGACGATGATGAGAATTTAAGGAGAGTGCTTCAAATTGTGTTGTGGGTCGCAGAGGGTGTCTACATTTTGTGGCTCTTCCTGCTTCCTTATGCCCCTGTAGGTACCCTTTTTCGATTTTTTCACCCTACCTGTTTTGTGTAAACGGGGTCTTTAAAAGAACCCAACTTGTGTGTTTCTATCCATATTATAGTATAGAAAATTGCTTATATGGTTTTGAATTGTTGTATTGCACGTTTTTTTCTTTCTTTCTTTGTTTGATGTATCATATAACAGAAATTGATTTCATTTTGAAGTATGAAAGTTTCCTTGTATTGTGATAGGGAGATCCTGTATGGGCCATCAGTTCGGACACATTTAACTCTCTTGTGGGACTTTCTCTCAATTTCTTTTTCATCTTGCCTTTCATGAACTTTGGTATGTTCTTCAATTGCTCATTATACGCCTAATAGAAAATTACTGAGTTGATTGGTTTTGTTTTCATCGCAGAGATTTATGTAAATTTGGATGAATTTATCAGCATTCCATTGTAAGAGAAGAATCATGATTTTTACCTTTTTTTCTATTATGTTTATATTTGTCAATGAACTGGTTTTCAGTAATGAGAAGATTTCTTTTCTGCATAACAGTTTGTGAATTTGAGATAATCATGAAAATGTATCTTCCTAAGTTTTGAAATTCCTTTATTGATTATTGAAAGTGATCTCTTCCTATTTTTTATCCTCCTTTCTTTTGGGAGACATCTTGAGAGGGGAAGCTTGCCGTAGCAATGTAGTACCAGTTAATTTGACAGGATTTATTCTCTTTGATTCTATATAAGCTTCAAGATTTATAATATATTGATGTATGTTGTATGGGCCAAAATGAAATGAAATAGTTGGAGGATATGAAATTGGTACGTGACAAAAGCAGCCCTGCCTTATTTTCTTTTTCTTTTTATTATTAGAAATCGCAGACCCAATCTCTGTGCTTTTTGTTTTTTTCAAAATTTAAATGGTTGTGTCCACATTGTGTGTATGCCGTGTCCTTGCCGTGTCAGAGCCAAGAAATGTTTATTATGAATAATTTTAAATTCATCTTTCATCCTTTGGCATTAGTATGATTTTGATGTAAAAATATAAATATTAAAAAAATAATTTTTGAATATAATAGTTTCTTGTGTTTATACATTGCTTTTGTCCCCACTACTCAAAGTTTTTGAATCCGTTACTGCATTGAAGTCAGCTATTGTGTTCAAAGTAAGACAGAACTGAACTTTGATCTGCCTTTTCTTAAGAATTATGGGGAATATATACTCTTTTGTGGTTTTTTAAGAAAATATTAGGGTTATCCTTGCACTTCAATGATTTCTGCACTGACCATTTTGGCAGAGTAGTCGGCATTCGTTTGATTGATGCCCCAGTTCTTCATCCTGTAAGTATTATTGCACTAAGTAAATACGGTTGGCATTTGGCACCAAATATAGCCCATTTGATGGAAGAATCTCCCTGATTTTGGGCCATTTTCTTGCTTCAGATGTCTGAAGGAGTATTCAACTTTGTGATTGGCTGGACTTTCATGTTTGCCCCTTTGCTATTCACAGATCGAAAGAAAGATAGATACAAGGGATCTCTAGATGTACTCTGGGGCCTGCAAATGTTCCTGACAAATAGTATGTTTCATAGAACTCTCTTGCATTGTTGAGATATATAAAACCATTAATGTAGCCTCACCCAACAGCTTAAGCTTTTGGGTTGAATTGGTTCTTTACATGGTATCAGAGCCTCGGTGTACCGGGTTCGATCCTTACCGCCTCCAATTTCTTTCCAGTGGAATTTCTTTCTTCGCAAAGGTAAGTGGGCCTGTGCATCGTCCACCCTTCAAGCCCAGTGGGCTCTCGTGTGAGGGGACATATTAAGATATATAAAACCATTAATGTAACCTCACCCAACAGCTTAAGCTTTTGGGTTGAATTGGTTCTTTACATGCATGACACAAGTCTTTTTATTACCTTCATAGAACACTAATTTTCCAGCATATAAAAGAGGTCCATGAATGCTTTAATCTCAACTTATTTTTCCTTAATGTATGATGTAATTGCATTTGGTATCATAACTCCTTTATATGATGCCAGCGTTTTTGATCCCATACATGGCTATACGATTGAATGATGCTGATGATGAGAGTGTTCCAATCAAACGTTCACAATTGGGCTCTGTGATGATAAATGGTGCTCCACTTGTTGGACTGATTGGTGGGAGTGCATGTCTTATATCTCTATTGTGGGCTCTTTTTGGTCGAATGGATGCAAATTTTGGGGGCATAGTAGACAGATGGGAGTACTTGGTTGGTTATATTGGATCAGAAAGGCTGGCTTATGCTTTCATATGGGATATATGTCTTTACATGATTTTTCAACCTTGGTTGATTGGTGACAACCTCCAGAATGTCCAGGAAAATAAGGTTGTTGTAGTAAAGTATCTTAGATATGTACCTGTGGTTGGTTTAATTGCTTATCTTCTTTGCTTGGAGCCAAAAGAGGTATAACTTGTGTGTTTGGATGATTAGTTTATTTTGCACTCAAAAAGGCTTTTCAGTTTAAAATCATCTCTTGAACATTTTGTGGAAAAGCTTCTTTGAATTCAAAATAAGCTAATCCACACACTTTCATGTATCAATTCCTATTGTTTCATGATGTTTATGTTACACATAGTCACAGAGAATAATATGTATTTTTAGCTGCCTATGACTGAAACTACTTGCATATCCTTCGATGCTGTTAAATATAATTTTAAGCTGGATTTGAATTATTATTTATATACTTAATGTTTTAATGTGTTTAAATTATAATTTAGCATGGTATATACATGTAGCATGTTTTACTCTTTGATTTGTTAACATTTAATTTTGGCGGATTGGCGGGTTGACCCGCCGGGCTCAACCCATATTGCCACCCCTAACTTTGACCACAAACATAAAAAAAACATTCTCTCTTATTCCACCAAAACATTATCTCTCATTGTGCATGTGGCCCTATTTATTTATGGGTTATATTTATTTCATTTAATATAAGATAAATTAAATTCTTACACACACATAACAAAGTTGGATCTCATCTTTTTTTTTTCTTCAATTATTTATAGGTTCCTCTTATAATTTTGCTTCACTGACATAAGATAACTATCTCCAACAACATAAGAAAAATATTTTCCTTTATTTATATGTTTCTTTGTGATTCGGATAGTTAGAGCCTGTTTGGATAAGCTTTTTTTTCTTCAAAAGTTGCTTTTTTTAAAGAAAAAAAGCACTTCTCGAAAAAAGTCTGTTTGGATGCCTGCTTATAAAAAAAACAGAAGTCATAAAAAAGCCAAAAATATACTTTTTTCATAAGCTAAAAATTTTAGCTTTTAAAAAAAGCCGAAGTCAAAAGCCAAATATTTTTTTCAAAAATCAAATATTTAAAAAAAAAATCTAAATAGGTATAACTTTTATAGAAAGTACTTTTAAAATAAGAAAGTGATAAAAAAGACTTTTTTAAAAATTCAATACAAACACACCCTTAGTATGTGTAGGAATTAGTGTTTACAAATCTGATTTTGGATAACTTTGATTTTGAAATAATTAAATTTGAATAAAAGTAAGTTTGAGTGTTTAATTAATTCATCTTTAAAACCATTTATTTGAAAAGTGATTTTAGCATATTGAATATGGAAAAAAAATAGCCCCATGTTGCATTATTTTATGTTAACTTGATTTTATTCATTGCAAAAGTAAGAAAATATTACCAAACATATTATAACTACGTCACAGTCAAAGAATTTCACTTAAACATGATTTTGGGTAGTTGAACTCCAAACAAACATAATAATATTAACATATGACTTTAATTATTGAATATGACAAAGTTGTGGATTCTACTATGCACAAATTAAACATCAATATCATTATTTTCCAAAAAAAAAAACATCAATATCATTAGAAATTTCTTATGTGAAAGCCACGTGATTTCCAAACTGCATTTGCGTCTCATCAAAAGCATATGGAATTTTTTTTTTTTGGTAACCTGGAATATTTTTAAATTCAATGAATAATATAATGGAACATAATATTTGAAATTATGAATTCGAACTTTTTGTGGTGATAAAATAAATAAATAAATAGCAGCTCATCATATGATTCATATTATTGATCGATACAACCATATTCTAACTTGTCTGCTACACTCACATGCATCTTAAAATGATTGAAATGTAGCACACCTTAAAACACTCCATGGCCAAGATAAACAATGATGAAATTAGTTCCTTGGAGTGAAGAAGTTAGCGATTATGTTTTTGGTCGAAATCATGGCTTGGAAACAAGAGGACTCATGACTGCTATTGATTATGTAATTAATCTAAGTTAGCATCATTGTAACACATGACTTGTTTGGTGCATTATATTTTACAAACAATTTGCAACAATCTTATAAATAATCCATTGCCTTAATAAGTTGCCAATGTTATATAATACCGCACTCTTTGGCTTTGCATTCACAACTAAATTAGGTAAGTCGACATCTATGTAATTAATACTTTTCTTATAAAGGACCGCTAATAAAGGTGGATTCCGTAATTCCCTTATTTGGTTTCAATTCAAGGATTTTTCTTTTAGAGTTTAATTAGTATTCATGTAATACAATTTTATTAATGAACATTCTTAGTATATTAAAGGCAAACCATCAACGCTGAAATATAGCTAGAAAATAAAAATAAAAATAAAGAAACAATACAGTATAAAAAAGTTAAACTTTATTTCATTGTTAAAAGGGGAATAATTATCTCATGTTTCATGAGATAACAGAGACAAAGTAGTGAAGTCTACATTATTTTCTTTTTCTTTTTCTTTTTTTACAAATGGTGGACTTCACTGTCTTGTATCTGTTGCATCAGATAATTATCTCATGCAATATGAGATTAATAGATCCCTTGTTAAAATAGTATAAGTATCGTATCAAAATAATTCAATGATAACACAAATTTCTTAAGTGAGGTCACAAAATCTTATTCACATTATAAAAAGAAGAAAGATAAAAAAAAAATCCTCTATCACTATAGTGGTGTAATGACCTGATATATCTGTGCTGTTACTCATCACTATCATAAAAATTCAAAAAGCAACCTTTACCAAAGATGGGAAATATTTTCACTGGACTCTTCAAACACTGAAGAATAACTTGGGTTGAAAGAAACCCCTCTTCTCGTATATATTCTCATAAATTTGGTTGAATGGTTGGTAAGACTTGCAAATTCCAATTATAAGAATCACTCATTCGCCACACTTGCTTTCTCCTTCTTCCACCGCAAAAACGACACTCACCACCACCGAAACGCAACAACTCACTCACAATGGCAGCGAGAATCGGATCCTTGAGGCACAACTTCGAGGAGAGGCTCCTCTCGAAAATGGACTTCCCGGAGTTGAGGCTCAACGGAAACAGCAACCCCAACGCGCTCTCCGATCGCGTGATGAGGCTCTGCAGTGGCATGCGTGAGTTTTTCCAGAAGCTACAGGAGATGGGTCGCTCCGATCCGAGAAAGGTTGTGTTCGCCATGAAAGCAGGGCTATCGTTGGCACTCGTTTCGTTGGTTATATACATTAAGGAGGAACAGTTAAGCAAGTATTCCATTTGGGCCATCCTCACCGTCGTTGTTGTTTTCGAATTCAGCGTAGGTATTGAGAAAGAACCACAGTACGCTTCTTCTTCTTTCCATTCTCTTGCATATAACTACAGCTTCATTGACTTATCTGAATAATCCTGTTCGAGCAGTGTTCATCACGAATAAATCTTTGGTGCTACTCTTGCACTAAAGATTCAATACATCTCACAAATAGAAATATTATATGCCAGCTAAAATTTTCTTTTCTCTGCCAAATGTTTTTTCTCTCCTGTGATATGTAATGCTTTCATTGATAGGATACACTGAATCTTGGTGCAACAGTAACATCTAAGACTCATTCGTTCAACACACAGTTGTTATAAGACTATTTTTTCGGCCTTTTAATTGATACAATGCACAAAAAATAAGTCCAATTTTTTGACAAACTATTTATCCATGCTGGACATTTGAAAGTACACGTTTAAGTCACACTTCACATCTTGTATGATTTGTGCAAAAGTTAGCATATGTGCTTGTTCAAGTCACGTATGCTCCGATGCCCATCTTGAGGAGCGTGACACATGATAAATGCCTTTTGACTTTTGTACAAGTTGTGTACGAGATTATGCGCGGCTTGAATGCACACACTTTCATGTACGCTCCACTCATTTTAGATCGTTAAATAATTTGATAAAAGAATTATACTTGTGATATTTTTTTTTTTGCATGCATGGGTCAAAAGGCCCTATTTTTTTTTCTAGTCTCACTGCTCGAATTTTGAGATATCTTACTAAAAAAAATAAGCTCCTCGCTATTTAAACCAATGGTTTTTTATATCTTTCCCTTCTTTGTTTGACGAAGAATGGTGAATAAAATATATGACCTTATGGTCACATGACGACGACACTAATAGTTATGCCAAGGCTAGTTAGAGATGTCAACCTAGTGCTAGTACTATAAAACTCGCCCATAGTACATTGACTTATTGGGCCTACAACAGTTTTACCTACTTCATTTGTTTATTACATGTGGAATATGGAACCTTCAAGTCAACAATGCTAACTGTTGTGTAGTGTCAAGGCTTACTTGACGAAGAAATTTCTTTTTTATTTTAAATTTTTTTGGTTAAGTTTATTATTTTTTTATATTTTTGGCGATTTGGGTGTAGGTGCGACCCTGAACAAAGGATTCAATCGTTCTTTGGGAACGATTTCTGCTGGAGGGCTTGCTCTTGGTATTGCACAGTTATCCGTTTTAGCCGGGAAGTTTGAGGAACTTATTATTGTACTCAGTATATTTATTGCAGGTCTAACATTTTCTTTTTGTACTTGAAAAAGGTTTATATTTTCTTTTTTTGTCTGAATCGATACTCGTACCCTTTTTGCATTTGAGGATTATTTATAACTTGTAATCTTGCAAACCAAATTTTTATACCTTTTCTTGCACTGGTTCACAATGACTTAAATATTAGTTGCTAACTAATAATTAAGTCATTTTGGTGGGAAAACAACATTACCGTGGGAATTTGATGACTATGCTTTCGTGGTGTGCAGGATTTTGTGCAAGCTATGTGAAGCTGTACCCTGCAATGAAGTCATATGAATATGGCTTTCGGGTGTTTTTGTTGACATTTTGTATTGTATTGGTATCAGGGAGAACTAGCAGGGAATTTTTCACAACAGCGTTTTACAGATTAGTTCTTATTGCAGTTGGTGCTGGCATATGTTTGTTTGTAAATATTTTCATATACCCCATCTGGTCTGGGGAGGATCTGCATAAATTAGTGGTGAAAAATTTCAATGGAGTTGCTACGTCTTTAGAAGGTTTGCTTGAATTTCCTCATTTTCCCCTTTAAGAGTTTGGTTTGTGTTGTTTATTATGCCTAGTTGCTGTATTTAATTTGGTACTTTTGTCACTCTGGGCTGGTTCCTGTGTAAATTTGTTTAGGCTGTGTTAATGGGTACCTGCAATGTGTTGCATATGAGAGGGTCCCTTCAAAAATTCTTGTTTATCAAGCCTCTGATGACCCTCTTTATCGTGGCTATAGAGCAGCAGTGCAATCGTCAAGTCAAGAGGAGACTTTGGTATTCATATTTCAAAATTGTCTCCTTTCCCTTTCTCAATAACATAAACGCCAAAAACTTGTGGCCACATGTTATACAATTTTATCTTACTCTTGCAGTTAGATTTTGCATTATGGGAGCCACCTCATGGTCCATACAAGACGTTCAAGTATCCTTGGAGAAGTTATGTTAAAGTCAGTGGAGCTTTGAGGCATTGTGCTTTCATGGTCATGGCAATGCATGGATGCATTCTTTCAGAAATACAGGTAAAAGAAACCTTTCCTTTCTTGATCTGTGCTAAATGTTAGCTGTATTTAATTGTTGTTAGTGTTTTATGCTACATTGTCTTTTATCGGGGGGAAGAATTTAACCATGACTGAACTTTTGGTTTATTCTTGGCTCTGTTCGCTGTAAATTTATCCTGCAGCTTCATCTACCTGATTTGCTGTTCTTTTCAGTGTTTTTTCATTATGATATTTTTCTTTGTAATGTCTTCTTTCAATCTTTTGCGAGCTCCTAGAACACTTGGCAATATATAAAGAGTATATCTTCACCTTCCATGAGCTCACTGTTGATTAATTTTGACAACTGTATCATTCGCTGTACAGTTAGAATGTGAGTACTTAACAATGATCAAGCTGAAAATTAGTCGAAAGCTGAATATAACTGCAGTAAAAGGAGGGAGTTATGTGATGGTCAATTGCTTACATACTGAGGGCTTATCTTATGTATCTTATTTCTGTGTGTTAATAATAGGAAAATGGAGAAATCTCTAAAAAGAATAGGAAAATGGTCTGTTATTAGTTAATACCAAGGAACCAATTCATTTATAATTAGGGGAATGAAAACTTCAATATTTGTATTAAGAGGAAGATGTTGATATTTTGAACTAGGCAGATTGGTTTATTCCAAAATGTCTGGGGTAAAATTCAGCTGAGCAATTGAATTTCAGAAGATACTTAAGCAACGGTTAAATTTACATTATTAGCATCACAATTTTTATTCCCTGTTTGATGGCTAGATAAAACATAACTCCAAATGCCAGATTTTCAGTATTGTATAATTTCTCAGAGGACTTTCCTTTTAAAGTCCATGAATCGCATGAGTGACTTGTCTATGCTACTGCTAACATCTATTGTTTTGTTCTTTTTCTTCTTTTGCCCATATTTGAGATAAGGTAAATGAACCCCTAATCATTTGTTGCTTTTTGTCTAAATTACTTGATTATTGCAGCAAAATTAACGTATGCTGACTTCAAAGATAGCTAACTTAAGTTATAAAGTCAAATTATTGTAGATGATGTGTCACTTTAATTGGTTTGAGAAGGCAGGATATGTTTGCTGTTTTACACACATTATCAATAACCAATAAACTTGCAGGTTGTACTGTCTCCGTACAAAGGAAAATAAGATGCTATTTGAGTCCATGTTTAAGCCTTTTCTGGCTCACCTTGAAATTGTAAAATCTGAGAATGAAGATCAATATTCAGGATTTTTTTAATGAAGACTTAAATGTATTAAGATAATGCTTTATTTGGAGGCTCTTAAGCATATTTGTGTAACTATATATTGTTGATATCCGAATTTCATAAACACAGGCACCCCCAGAAAAGAGGCTGGTTTTCAGTAATGAACTTCAGAGGGTTGGTACTGAAGGAGCTAAAGTATTGCGTCAACTTGGAAGCAAAGTGGAAAAGATGGAAAAACTAAGCACCTCTGACATACTCTTGAAAGTACATGAAGCAGCTGAGCAATTGCAGATGAAGATTGACCAACAATCATTCCTCCTAGTCAATTCAGAGTGCTGGCAAGCAGCAAGAACAAGAAGGCCTAAAGAAAATGAAAATCCTCAAAATTTGATTGATGTTAAAGACAATGAAAACAAACAGTCAATGATTGCTTCCCTCAGTGAAACAAGGGGTGACTCGAGACTTAACATAAGCACAGAGCCTTCAATGCCAGAATTGAACTTTTCACAAAGCATGATGTGCAATAAAATATCATGGCCACGTCTCTCATTCTTGGGAGAAGCCATGGTAAGTGAGCAAGATTCCAAAGTATATGAAAGTGCGAGCTCCTTGTCTTTGGCAACATTTGCTTCACTTTTAATAGAGTTTGTTGCAAGACTTCAAAATCTTGTTGATGAATTCCAAGATCTCAGTGAGAAGGCCAATTTCAAAGACCCGTTTGACAAACCAATGTTGAAGTAGGTTAAAATGCCACTTTGGACCTGACATTTCAGGCTCCTTAGCTTCAAAATTGGAGGTATGTATAATCTAGCTATTTATAATCTATCTTATAATGTTCTTCCACTATAATTGCCACATGTTTTTTTTTTTTTGCCCCTTAAATTTTAGTTTTTAATTCTTTTAAATTATAATTTCGTTTTATTTCTTTTTGATTTTTCATTTCTGTCTTTAATGTTTTTCTTGACTTTTCATATTTTTTAACCTTTTAAATTTTGATTTTTTTCGATAGTTTTTTTTCTAAAGTTTATGAACAAATAGCACTACATTGATTTTTTTTAATAAATTAAAGAGAATGCATACTTTATTATATATAAAAATATTAAATAAAGAAAGATAAAAACTTCATTAGTAAATTGATCTTACTTTTGAAAATTGTAATAGAAAGAATATTTGAATAATATTTATTTAATTTAATAATTGGATGTTTCATCAATAATATATTTCAATTGTATTTATATTGATAATATCAGCATCCTATTTATATATATATATGATAACATACTAAATACAAATCTTCCTTAGTACAGGATGAGATGAATTAATCTAAATGTTACATTTCCAATAAAGATGCAATTATTTTATTGGATGAAATAATATATTTTCGACTGAACAATATAAAAGTAGTGAAATTTGAGCGTTAGAAGCATAAATTAAAGGGATTCATGAATATTATGTCACAGTATTGAGCTTCCATCATCACCCTCACAATGCAAGTGGGCCTCATCAATTTTCATAAAAAAACAAAAAATAAAAAAGTGGTACACAGGTATCAATGTGTCTGTAGATTTCCAATAACATAATCAAACGATTTCCTTAAATTAAAATAGAAGTTTGCATTTGTCATTTAACATGACACAACAAATTTTTCTACACACACAACATTTTGTGGGGTTCACATTTTTTGAAAAAAAAAAAAGAGAAATTACGGCACTCAAAACGAATATAACATTACATAATCACTTTTTCTACAACATAACTTTTATAAAATTCATTAAAATATGTTATATAAAAATAGTTTTGTTTAAAACTTTAAAAAAATTATTAAAATAACGTTAACTCATATGATTATTAAATTTTAAATATTAGTCCTTTTTTATGCTGTTAACTATGTGTGGCTTGATTTATTTTGCATTAAAATTTTCTAAAACCAAATATTGCTGTTTAAATATTTTAATTACAAATTTTTAAAGCTACTAATGTAAATGAGGTATGATCCTTTGACACTAGTGTCAAATTTGAAGTTTGACACTTCTTCTGATAGTCGTTAGATCAAAAAAGATCAATGGTGTCACATGCTTCCAAATTAGAGTCGTTGATCTTTTTTGATCTAACTGTTATTAGATGAGGTGTCAAATTTTAAATTTGACACTAGTGTCAAAAGATCCTATCTCAATAAAAATATATATATATATATATATATATATATATATATATATAGAGGTAGGATCCTTTGACACCGGTGTCAAAAATTTCTCATATAAGAGCCGTTAGATCAAAAAATATCATTGGTATCACATGCTTACAATTCAAAGTTGTTGATATTTTTTGATCTAACGGCTCTTAGATAAGGTGTCAAACTTTAAATTTGACACCGGTGTCAAAAGATCCTGCCTCATATATATATATATATATATATATATATATATATTAAATGTTTATTTATTGTATTAAAAATTTATTGTCATAAATATTGGATGTAACCAACCAAGGCTTTTTGACCATTGTAGCCCTTATGTAATAATTAATTACCAAACTGACCTTGATTATAAACTATTTCAAAAATTTAACCTCTCCAGAAAACATAACACAAATCTGCCCCTGTTTGACCGTTGACCACCAAGCCTACCCGGATATATTTTGAAATTTTTTATCTACCTGGGTAGGAAGGGGGTACCCGGGTATATTTCTTGAATCTGAAAAAATGTTTGAATTATTTACCTGGGTACGTAGGGAGGGGGTACCCGAGTAAATAATCCGGATTGAAAAACAAGCAGAGATGGTGCCATGCCAACTGAAGAACAACAATTCCGAATTGAAATTAATTTAAAATAGAGATATACTAACGTGAATTAGTAATAGGGTTCGTACAAAGGGGAGAGGGTGTTAGGGTTTACAACAATTTTTTTTTCTAAAATAGAGATATAATTTTTTTAAAACACTTTGTTATGTTTCATAATATGTAGAAAGTAAATATATAAAAAATAGATTGTATATTCTTAATTAAGTAATTTAAAATAGAAAAACATAGTATCAAATTGTGGAGGTTTAAAACTTGCCAAAAATTAAATCATTTGTTGGAGGTTTTCTTGACCTCCACTAAAAAACCTCCAATGATCCCCCATTTTTTTGTAGTGGTAACAGAGATTACTAACGTGAGCGGGTGGCTTCCCAGAGCTGCATCTCGCCGTGCTCGTAGTATTCTGAGGTGCGAATGATAACAAGAATGAGGTGATCCCCTTCTTTGACAATGTTATCCACCGTTCATTTTAGTGCTTTGATGCTGCATGGTGAGAAATCCACAGCCACGCCCAATCTCCTATTTGCATTACCAGCCATTTCTCTCTACAACAACGATCAAACTATCTTATTCTTGAGACCTCTTTTTTGTTAAGTTGCTCTGTATAATAGGTCAGGTTTTTGTTTTGTTTTATTTTTAATGTTAACGTTTCACGTGACATTGAGCTTTGATGACCGAAGACCGCAACTTCTGAGGCAGGCACCGAAGACAGCGACAATTGCGTACCCGGGTATATTTCTCTACCTACAAATGTTTTAAGAGTGTAAATTTTTAATCTGGATTTTAAATATAAAGAAAATCAGAAAAGTAATTATAACCTATGTTTTTGAGTTTTGTGGACACAAACCTCAGCTTTGAGTTTGGTATTTTCAATTTGGAGTTGTTGTTCTTCAGTTGGCATGGCACCATCTCTGCTTATTTTTCAATCTGGATTATTTACCCGGGTACCCCCTCCCTACCCGGGTAAATAATTCAAACATTTTTTCAGATTCAAGAAATATACCCGGTACCCCCTTCCTACCCGGGTACTACCCGGGTAGGAAGGGGATACCCGGGTAGGCTTGGTGGTCAACAGTCAAACATGGGCAGATTAGTGTTATGTTTTTTTAAAGGGTTAATTTTTCGAAATAGTTTCTAATCGAGGTCAATTTGGTAATTAATTATTACATAAAGGCTACAATGATCAAAAAGCCAAGCAACCAACCGACCAACGCGTGCTATCTTAACTAGTATCCAAAGGTTACAGAGGTTGACAAATGACAAACGAAGATGTTCCTTTTCGCACCACTAGGGTTAGCCTAGTGGTGTGGGGTGTGTGTGTTAAGAGTGTGTGTAGTGTAGGGTGTTGTGTTCAATTCCTTGTAACCTCAAAAAAGATGTTCCTTTTCTTTTATCATTTTCATAGAAATGCAAAGATGTTCCTTAACTAGTAGAGTGGGAGGAATAAAGATTAAAATGTTTAAAAATATCTTTATCTTTATATTTTGTATATTTTGATGTCTCTAATTTTTTTTTTATCTTTTTTTATTTTTATTTATGTATTTTTGTATTCGCAGTTTCATACCTTCTTCACGCCAAAGTTTTCAATTTAGCAAATTTGGAGAGAGTAAACTCGTAAATATGTCTCTTCAAGCTGCTAAAGTTCTATACCATAAGCTATGAAATACACATATGCTCTCAAACACGGACTCGTGTTTTTTTTGTTAATTGTGCGTGTCCGACACGTGTTCGACACGGACACGCTCTGACACGCGTCCGACACGCGGTCAATATTTTAGGACATATGGTCAATTCTCCGACACGCTTCGACACGTTTTTTCGACTCAGTCAATTTTTTTCGACACATGATCAACGCTTGGACACGTTTTTTTTTTAATCTTAATTTTATTTTATTAACTAAAAATAAAAAAATTATTTATAAATCAATTTTTTGCTGTTAACAAGGTACGAAAAATTATTTTTGTTTATATATATATATATATATATATATATTTAATACAATTTTTGTTTATATTTATGTCATGAAATTTGAATATTTGATTGATTATATGACTTATTATGGACAGTTATATCTATTAAATATAAATTATATTATATATATTAAAAATATTATTTAATATCAAAATGTGTCCCAACGTGTCAAAATATGTCATTTTTTAGAATTAACGTGTCGTCGTGTCGTGTTGTATCCCGTATCAGTGTCCGTGGATCATAGCACATATGTTCTTATTCTGCACCCGGAAAGGTTATACATGGAGAACAAAAGGATACAAGAAATTTGACTTCAAAAGATCAACAATAGGAAATTTGGGAACCTGAGAAGACCTAGTCTTACAAAAACAGATGGTGACGAAAAGGGAGGTTGGAATGTGCTTTCGTAAGATATTAGATTATCCATATTTAAAATAGGACTAACATTCGTATCACTAGGCAAGCCAAGAAAATATAAATATGTATTAGACTCATATTTATCTAAAATAAGAAAAGGAATAATTGTTATGTCATGAAACTATTTAAATCAGTGCTTAGAGTGAAGTTCAAGACAACTGCGTACTATAACATAATTACCTTCATTAAAATTGTAATTCGTGCAATATACATTAGTGGTAAGTCTGTAATATTTACTTTTCAAAGCAAGCTTACGTCTAATGCTGTCATGCAGTCTACAAATATATAATGCGAAAGACTCAACAAAGTGTCAAAGTCTCATGGCCTCAAAGAAACGAGGAGAGAAGCCACCAGGAGCGGTCAAGTATTGAGGGACTTAATAATTTGTATAAGGTTATAGAATCAAATCTCAGCGTTATAATTGTATTAAAAAAATAAAAAATAAAGAGAGGCAGAAATCAATAGGCGGGTGGGGATAAACTATGGAAAATCTCAAATAAGCTCTCATCAACTTGTGTAACAAACTCCTCCAGGACTAATGCAAAAATAAAGCTATTATCGGAAGAATATAGCTAATTGGTGATTAACTCCCGAAGTAATTTATCAAATATAATATCCCTCAACTCCTCTGCTGAGTAAAATATCTATGGGAAAAGTGTGTGTCATTTTAAATGATGTAAAGTTGTGTCGTGAGAGAAAAATAGATCATGGGGGAAGAGTGGACAAAAAAATAAAGGTGTGGGTTTCATTTCTTTGTGAGAATAAACAAGTTGTGTCATTTGAAAGGAGAGACAAATTTTGCTATATCTAATGGGAGGCCTTTATAAATTGTGGGTCTACGAGATCCAATTTAACAGTCAAGACAACAACTAATTAACATCACATTTGACTCCAAACTTTCTTTTTCAAACTCTTTATAGATCAAAAGGTGTAAACTCATTCTTTGTTGGAAATCGACACACAAACAACACAAATTGAGAAAATAGAAAAGAGAAAGGGAAGAAAAATTTACAAATAAGTTTTCCCTGGTTCACCCAATATAGGTTATGTCCAGCTTGTCTATACTATATTCACATCAATGTTACTTGTTATAAGTCACTCGGTTTACAATGGAATATAAATAAGATTTAGAAAATACTAACAACAACTATTTATGGGCCCAAGCCCAAACTACTAAGAAAAAGAAAATTATAATAAGTCAGAGGCTCACAACAGTATCAGGCCTCTACAGGCCCCGGGTTGCTGCCCCTTGCACCCTCGTCGGGGCGGCTCCCTTAGAACCTCGCCCGCTCACCTGGAAGCGGGATCCAAGTTGGCTTTCTGCTGACCTCGCCAACAAGAGTCCTCATATGAATGCGAAGTATGCGTCATACCTAACATTCTTTGCATCACTCGCTAATGATCAGACCAAATACAATATGGGCTGGCCAATATGTATCAAGCCCAGTCACACACGGTTGAGATGCGGATTGTTGACACGAGCTGTCGAACTCGCGCAAATTAAAAATTATTTTTTTATTAGGGTTCAGAAAATTTGTAGTAGAGTGGAAACCCTAAGTCGTCTCTCTCAAGGAAATTGCTTGGGTAAAAATCATTTATCAAAACAGAAATTAAAAGGGGTTTTTTTTGAATTTTGGTTGAATAATTTAAAAGGCAGAATATGAAATTGGATTTAAAATTCGTAATTAAAAATAACCAACCTAAGGTTAGGGTTCCATGGATGTCTTTCCTCGGATAAAAAGATATCAGAATCGTGATTGATTTGTCAATCGAATCAGAATCCTTATTTCCAATTGACAACCCTCTCTAAGCGATCGCTTAGCATTTGATCAAATACGGTGCTTCTACTCATACAATCGCAGAGTATCAGCCCGCTTGATTTAAGGTCATAGGGTCAATCAATCTAATCATCAAATCTGATGATTAATCCCTTTCCATAATCGCAATCGCGAACCTCAGATTAAATATCCACGATCGTACGATATCAATCTGAGTTGGGAAGGGAAACGAGACTGATTTAAAATAAAGCGCAGACCCTCAAGACTAATCCATGGAATCCGTTACCCTTAGGTTGATTAAAACGTTCTTAGCCTCGCATGGCTAAGGTAAACATGATTAAAATAAAAAGAAGAAGAAAAAGAAAAAGATGAAGAACGCGAAGTACGCTTAAGAGAAAGTGCTTTGATCCTCAATTTCGAAAATTACAGAATGAAACAAATGTTTCCTACTCTGCCGTCATATACCCCTACCCAAAGCGAGTTAGGGTTCAGTTCTGATCGGCCCATCTATCTAAAATGAAAAATAAAATAAATAAAATAAAATAAAACAAAACTTGGCTTTGGGACACTTATGTAATTGGGTTTTAAATTACAAGTCTAAAACTTCAGCAAAACACGTTCTTCTTGGCGTCAGAAATCGACCAGCTTCCAGTCCTAATTGGGCTTCGAGCTCTCATAAGAATTGTAGCTCTCTGTGTTATCTGAAAAACCCAACTAGAACTAAGTCAATACGATACCTGTGGACCGAGATATGGCCAAAATACAGAAGTAACGTAAAGCTGAAAAATTCTGACGAAAATAAATTAAACCCAATCAAACACTAAAAATGTAAATTAACTCAAAACATCATTATTTTATTCAAATAAATCCTAAAAATACTAATCAAGAGTAACAAATAAGTGTAATAAAATATGAGTTATCAAATTCCCCCACACTTATCTTTTTGCACTCCTGGGCAAAAACTAGAATAGCAAAAGAAAGCAAAGAAATAAGAGAAGAGTGAAGATCAACCTATCCTTCCTAATAATTAGCAAGTATACAAAAGATAACAAAAATCGCAAGTCTTGAACAGATAAAACAACAAGGACAAAAATTGCTTAATCTCAAATCACAAGACCTGTCAATTTCAACTGCAACTGCACAAAAATGGTTCCTCACAGGATGCTCTCAATTTTCTCTGAAGTGTATAAGTTAATTTAGCATATCACTCAAATCAACTCCAGAAAATCCATAGGCTTGCTCAAATTCTACTTCTCCACTGCTAATAACACATACATGCACAAATCAAGAGGGCTTTATGCAGGGTTGTAATGGGGCTGAGGTAAAGGTATGGATGAATATGGAAGAGAAAGCTAAACACCCCAGAATTTTACAAAGAGCAAAAGTTAAGAACTAAACTAAGAACATAAAACAAAGATACTGAAAAGATAAACACTTTTTGTTTTGTTTTGTTTTTTGTTTTGTTTTTTTTTTGTTTTTGTTTTTGTTTTTGTTTTTGTTTGTTTTTGTTTTTGTTTTTGTTTTGAAGAAAA